AAAAGCAGTCAAATATACGTTTTCGAACTCGCTGAAAACGCTGGTTTTGTCAGATTTACTCTAACTAAAACAAATTTTGTCCCTAACATTCTTGAGCTATACTATAGTTTATTTATATAATTTTCTTGAGCTTTATGTATATTCTGTAGGAAAAATTACCAAAATATGAAAGTGCCCAAAACCTTTATAAAAACGGCAAAATATTACGTCTTCGGACTCGCTGAAAACGCTGGCTTTGTCAGATTTACCCTATCTAAAAAAAAATTTTGTCCTAATTTTCTTGAACTATATTATAGTTTATGTATATTCTGTAGGAAATATTACCAAAATATGAAAGTGCCCAAAACCTTTATAAAAGCAGTCAAATATACGTTTTCGAACTCGCTGAAAAACGTTGGTTTTGTTAGATTTATATTAACTAAAAAAAATTTTTGTCCTAATTTTCTTGAGCTATATTATAGTTTATGGAAATATTACCAAAATATGAAGGTGCCCTAAACCTTTATAGAAGCAGTCAAATATACGTTTTCGAACTCGCTGAAAACGCTGGTTTTGTCAGATTTACTCTAACTAAAACAAAATTTGTCCTAACTTTCTTGGGCTATACTATAGTTTATTTATATAATTTTCTTGAGCTTTATGTAGGAAAAATTACCAAAATATGAAAGTGCCCAAAACCTTTATAAAAACGGCCAAATATACGTTTTTGGACTCGCTGAAAACGCTGGTTTTATCAGATTTGCTCTAACTAAATAAAAATTTTGTCCTAATTTTTTTGAGCTATATTATAGTTTATATATATTCCGTAGGGAATATTACCAAAATTTGAAAGTGCCCAAAACCTTTATAAAAGCAATCAAATATACGTTTTCGAACTCGCTGAAAACGCTGGTTTTGTCAGAATTACTATAACTAAAAGAAAATTTTGTCCTAATTTTCTTGAGCTATATTATGGTTTATGCATATTCCGTGGGAAATATTACCAAAATATGAAGGTGCCCTAAACCTTTATAAACACAGTCAAATATACGTTTTCGAACTCGCTGAAAACGCTGGTTTTGTAAGATTTACTCTAACTAAAAAAAATGTCTTAATTTTCTTGAGCTATATTATAGTTTATGTATATTACGTAGAAAATATTACCAAAATATGAAAGTGCCCAAAACCTTTATAAAAGCAGTCAAATAAGTCAAATATACGTTTTCGAACTCGCTGAAAACGCTGGTTTTGTCAGATTTACTCTAACTAAATAAAAAATTATGTCCTAATTTTCTTGAGCTATATTGTAGTTTATGTATATTCCGTAGGAAATATTACCAAAATATGAAAGTGCCCAAAACCTTTATAAAAGCAGTCAAATATACTTTTTAGTAAAAAACGCTGAAAACGCTGGTTTTGTCAGATTTACTAAATTTACTTTGTCTAATTTACTAAAAAATTTTGTTCTAATTTTCTTGAGTTGATTCTTATAGCATATTTATATTCCGTAGGAAAAATTACCAAAATATGAAAGTGCCCAAAACTTTTATAAAAACGGCCAAATATACGTTTTCTAACTCGCTGAGAACGCTGGTTTTGTCAGATTTACTCTAACTACAAAAAAAATTTGTCCTAATTTTATTGAGCTATATTATAGTTTATGTATGTTGTGTAGGAAAAATTACCAAAATAACAAAGTGGCAATTTTGAGGGACTTTTAGCGATTTACTCAAATCCTGTAGGTGCTAGAGTAAAATTAACGACGGATGCGGATAGCCTAGTGGGGCTTCCACTTTTTTATCTTGTCTGCCTGTTGTATTAATTATATTAGGTACATAATCAGACAAATGAATACGGTGTCTTAATACATCAAAATGTCTTCGCTTTTTCATCTGAGGAGAACCTCAGTAAACCGAAATGTATAAGAACGCGTCGACTCTACAACGTTAATTTTAAAAGGCATTAATTTAATCAGCTTCATTCCCCTGTTCAAAATGAACCGAAACCCGCGAATAAACCGGAAACGTGAAAATAAAAACAGAAACAATATGGAGAAACCGCTTAATGCAATGGGCCTTGCTCGCGAAACGGTCATGTTGGTTAAATTACAAAATGAACAACTAAGTAAAACAAATGAAAGCAGTACGCTTATTACGTATTTGTTATATAATTTAAGACATCGCGCCCAAGCAGCCTCGAACGCAGAGCCATATTCACCAGATTATACCAATTTTCCTCTTTCTTTGCATTCCAAGTATTCGTTTTCGCTTTGCATCTCCCGGGAAAATGTACCTAGACCCAAATGGGGTCAATACTTCCCAAACTTTTTACATAACGCGTAAAATAATGTAAAATGTAACAAAAAACCCAACGGGTTCGGCCCCAACAGCCTACGCTATAACGAGATACGAAACCTTTCGAATTTAAATAATTTTGATAAATGATTGGCACCAGAAAAGGGGTGTATGAAGCATTTTTATAAAAATTTACCATTGACATGTAGACACATAACTAACTAAACGAAAACTAAACACATTAGGAAAATCTGCATTTTTCAGTTGGAAATCCAGTCGATTCTGACGGGTTTATCATCCTTTCCAATATTTCGATCACATTTGGAAGTGTTCCGTCATCAGATAATGGCTATAAACAGAATGGGGGAAAAAATCATCCCCATTTTTCTCTTCTGATTCCCGAGAAAATTCATACGGACGTAAATAGGGTTAATACGTTCGCTCTGGCGTTTTTATATTGTATTCATTTATATTTTTGAGAATTATCAAATACCCCCAAGCGGTATATTGTTAAAAAAAATATCGTAAATCACAACAGAAATTATGTCCGATACGGATTTGATCAAAATGGCACGAAAGAGACAGCGCAGCGCCGGACTCGGGGCGACCAGCTGGCAATTTATATCACATTTTAACTTCGAACTGTTAGAAAATCCTTCCTTTAACAATTATGCCATTTATATCATTACGTCAATCATATCAGTGTTTAAAAATTATTTTCGTACAAAGAATGAATTATTAATATTGATTCAATAATACCTAAATAGCGTCCAGATGTCCTAAATTTAAAATATGAATAAGATATCTCGAAAGACATTTAAGATATCACAAAAAATATTACCCCTACTGTTCAGGAGAAAATTAATTTAAAGATGTATCCTTATTTTTTATATACTACCTTTTTTAGAAGTATGGCGAGAAAATTTAGAACCACCCTGTACATTAGATACAATTACCAGGGGATAGTAATTTCTATTATATTTTTAATAATTTTATTTCACTGTTTTTAAACAAATGCAAGAAGGGTACATACTTTATATTGGGAAGCCGGTGAAATTCTTGCACTTATTTTTACTATTTATTTATTTCAACTTTTTGATTAGAAGTGGGATTTTAAAACATCAGGAAACGCTCAAATCAAATAAACAGAAATAGCTAGTAAATATTTGTTAAATATAATATAAAGATGTTTCCAAATTGTTTCATTTCTTTTCATACAGGGTGTAAGAAGTTTAACTGCCATTACTTCAGCATGAAATAGAGTAATCATAAATGGACCAAAAAGTTATATATTACAGGGGCGTAAGATTAACAGTTTTCCAAATACAGTGAGTATTAATACTGGGGAGTTTCATCACAACGTGACAACAGCGCTTAACCTGCTGATACACACCACATGTACACGCGGCAGACTTGTCCTACGGAAAAAATGTAAACAGCTATTATTGTGAAACATTTAGTAAATTTCAAGACAATTGTTTTCCAGTTTTTAAATAAATAAAATAAAATGTATCGATTTTGTAGTACGAAGATAGTGTTGTCCTTAAATTTTAGGTCGAATTTTAGTAATTATGAATCTCTGAAAACAGGCACTTGACTTTTAATCAAATTACGTATTTAAAAAATATGTAATTAAAGTACCAAAAGATTCACGTCATCCAAATAATCATACATATTAAAAATAATTTAGGTTCTTACCAAAAAGCAAAATTCAGTAAGTTTCTATGCACACGCGACACCTTCGAATCCAATTTTCGTGCACTCGCTGGAAAACATTTCAAGAAAAGGAAATAGTGGAACGCAAAAAACACTCCAACACGGTCGAATCCAGATACCAACTGAATTGCATATTGGTGGTTGCCAGACACCTTAGTACCTCGTGTTAATAAACCGCCGCGCCGTTGTCGCATTGCTCGATATAAATTTTATCGATTTTAAATTTATTACAACGCTAATTATTTTTTAGAATTAAGCAGAAGTTAAAAAGTTTTGCTAGGGAAAAATTATACTATTGCAAACAGAAACTTAGTAAAACGACCTTCTAAATACTAAAAGGCTCCTTTAGCAAAATATTTTTTATTATGAGAGCAAGGTAACCTCTCTGAAGCCATTTAATGGAGATATTTTATTAGGGTTAATAAATTTGTACTTACTGCTAAAATACATTTCCCTCAGTATGCCTGAATAGTGTACCGCCCTAAATAAATAAATATTTTAACTGTTAATTTTAACAAATGTGCTAACTGCATTAAAATATATTTTAAACTGCGTGCTTAATAAAGAAGACATTTATTTCCCAAGTTCCCGCGTTCGAAAAAATCCCACTTCTGATAGAAATATAAAGCCTGCGGCTTCAAGTGCACTCCGACTAATTTCTCACAGTACTTTGCGTCCCGAGGGCCCTGTATAAATTAAGTTGGGTTGCACCACGATCCCGTGTGCGTATACTGGATAGGGTTCTAATTCGCCGAATTTTCCCGGCGTGCCCAGTCCAATACTGGGAGAGAACAACATTCGTCAGGGATGGAAAGATGTTCGGGGGTGGCTCTCTGCCTCCGTCAGAGCGAACACTCAGTTGTGCCGAGTCATAGCTAGGGCTGGGCTGCTCGCCCTGCTACCGCCACTTTACGTATCTAACCTTAACGTCCATCGGAACACACATTACCTGAATTACGGCCCAGTTTAAAATAAAAAATACCAGTGCTGGGAGACCACCAAAGCCTCACCATGGATGTCATGATAACCATTTATGGGTGCCTGTTCTTGATTGGGGTAATTGGCAATGGGACACTTGCGGTGTCACTTTGGTGGGGGCGAGGGTCAAAGAGTCCCTTACTGCTGGGCTTGATAGTAGCCGATTTTTTCGTGTGTTGTTTGAGTGGCCCCATAACCGCTGCTCTGTACGCTCTACCCCCAAATTCACCCGTTTGGCTAGTTATTGCCCAGTTCATGCAGGTATTTATAGGTTACTTATAATCACACGTGACTACACTAGTTTTTGTAACACTTTAAAGTTAGTTACTCTGACCTTTGTTTAGTTTTAACATATTTTATCAGTTAGCTTCACTGTGTATTTGCGAATATATCGAACGCGTAGAAACTCGTCCTTTCCAAGAATTAACAACCACCTTTCACGAAGTACAAAAGGTTTGTCCAAGTTGCAGCTCTGTCATCATTTAGAACGAGTACGTATATACCGATTTCTGCAGTAAGTTAAATTACATGCACATACATCAAAGACGCAATCTACGTTTATATGTTTTCCTTAGATTGCAAACATTGCAAGCAATTACCTTACTCTAGTTAATATAGCCCATTTATTTAACACACGCGTAACGCAATTGTATAGTTCTTCTTACTGTTATTAAATACAAAGTTATTTATTAAAAACATTGTTAAATTTTTCATACTTCCATTACCTAACCATTTACTGTTCATTCTTAAAAGGATTGTGATTGTGGAAGATTGTTTAAAGAGTTAAGCAAATTAGTAAATAATTGTTTGTATTTTCTTTTAATTGATAACATTTCAGGTAATAGCGATCTGTTCTCATCCGAGTCTTTAACCCATATTAAATTTTCTCCATGTCACATTCTAATTCATGGTTCATTATTTTGAAATTTCAGCAAATGGATGGAAAGAGTTGGAAGTTCTGGTCTACAAAACACTTGCTAGCAAACTCAGTTTGCGGTATTCAGAAGGTGATAGATTTATAAAAATTTATCCGAGTTGACATCCTTTGCATTTTATCCCCTTTATGCAAGTTCGTGAAATAAGAAGTTATCATTATTAATTATGTAAGATTACGATTAAAATTCATATTCATATTTCGTAGTTGAGACCTGTACATATATTTTTTTGATAAATAAGTACGCAACTAATCGAAGTGTCTTGAAATTACTATCGAAAAGGGTAAAAGAATAATTAAAATAACCAGTTAACGTTTCGAAAACAGCTTTATAATTCATTACGATTTTAACCAATTATGTAAGAGAATAATAGTGATATATTTTTAATTGAAATGGGTAAACTTAATTTTCCCATCGTTACATCCCATCGTTTAATTTTTGTAACCCTTTTAATGACATTCATTTATACGTAAACCTACACATTTACTGTGCCCCTTTTTAGGGCAAATTTAAAATATGGACAATGGAAAATGAACAATTTCCAACATTTTCAGTACGTTTTTAATGTTACGTTACAGCAAGGCATAAAAATTCCACCCTGTATCCTGGAAAGTATTTGTAATCCATCGTTTCTATTTCTCGTCAGTTTTTATGAATAATTAGTTAATGATAATTTATTTAAACTGTTTCTACATTCAATATGCTTTAATGAAACTTAATCGACATGATTAGAAAAATTATGTTCTCTCGTTCGTTCGTTATTGTATAAATGTAATAGCACAACATTAACAAACAGTATTGTTTTATTACGAGCGAAATTAACTGTCATCCTAATTGTAATATGATATCCAATGTCATTATTTCGTTTTTGTGTTGGCAGCAACAAAATAATAACATTTTTTCCTACATTGGAAGTCCCTTGATGAAAGACGATGTTTTAATTATATTTATAAAAGAAATTTTATATTTATTTTTATATATATTTTTAGCAGCGTACTTCTAAGAAAACTTTTAAGAAACCCCCTTATTTAAAAGGGCCAGGCCAGAGTCGATCACTTTTCTTATTATTTGATAAGAACAAGCAGCATTTCGAAGATGTTATCAATATCAACAATTCTTTCTATTCAAACAAGCCTTCGAGAACTAAATGTAAATTGAAAATGAAGTAGACGCAAAACTTCACAACCTCGGAGAAAAAATATAAAATAATCAGTTTTGAAACAGGAATGATTGAAATATTATTATTATTTATTTTATAACCAGTTACCTTCTGTTTAGTTCATATTTGCATAGTACCCGAAGTTGAAATTTCTTACTTTTTGGACTCACTGTTTTAACGTAACACCGTCAAACCTTTTCCTAATCTCGTCGGAAATGATAAACGAAATGATTCCGATCGGTTTGGTCTTAGGATTTTGCCGCAAAAAAAGCAATAAATCAGTTTGACGAAACGTTCCCACATCGTCTGCCTCTGAAAAATAGTGTGTAACGTATTAGGCCATTAGCTGTCAATTAACGTAATAATATTCTGCTAGAAGCAATTCCGCCTGACAAGAATCAAAAATTTCTTGTGTATAAGTACACGATCAATTTAACGCTTTATTTCATTAACTCCCTTTGATCATCGGAGTGTAATAATTGGCTCTTCCAGATAACGTATTGTGGCGTATTTAATAAATTTATTATATTTACGAAGTTTCCTACCCGGGATATTTATTCCTATGCGAAAAACGAAAACGGAGAATATATTTCAGTACAGTACTTTCTTTTTTTTAATAAATATAAAAATTATGAAATACAGTATTAAAAAAATAAAAGCATTTTTAGTTCGGGAAATGATAAATTTTAGTTCGCATTTAAAAATAATGAGCCTATGATCACGAGCCGACACTGCTAAAAAATATACAGTCGAGGGTTTTGGGATTTTTAACAACATATCCAGTTTTCAGATTTTAATATCGCCACTATTTTCAGAACGTTGAGTTATTTCTTTTTATTTTAAGAAATGCTTAATAATACTAGTACAATATGTACCTAATATATCGCTGATTTTGTATGTGATTAATGAAAACGCTTCGTGCATCGTCTATTTTTGGAACGGACTGGATCTCTTTATTTGCTTCTGGCAACTGCCTTTGGCGGCACTCAGCGGCCTATTGATTTCCCTCATTTGATTCATTAATTTATATTGTCAATTCCTGCTAAATGGCAGAGCTGCGGTTAAGGTATATAGAAACTGCCTTGCTCATTATCCGGAATTTATCTCCAATATCACTGAATTATGTACTGTGGATTTCAGTTACAATGCGTTGGAAACTGTAAATTTAACCCGTCAATTAGATGCGATTGTTCAAGATTTATTGCCACTAGACCAGACGGTCTTAATTGAATATTTGGATAAGTCGTTTTACTCGAGGAATTCAATGACACTTGGGTTTCTTACAAATTTAACACTTTTTAAATACAAATTTAACACTTTTTAAAGTAAAACAGAGACGCTTCTAAATTGTTTCGTAAGACAATTTATCATTTCGAAGTCGATACTTAATAACGTCTTATTTTATATTTGTCATATTTTCAGTGGACCGAGTATAGTATCCCATAACACTTTAAAGTGAATTTTATTGTACAAGTTCTCTAACAGCCGGCTCCTAACTTTGTATTCGAGAAGTTAACTTGCAAACTGCGTTAAAATATTTTGTTGCTCAATTCTTAACGGTATTATACCTAAAGTAAAAAACACCAGAATTATTAAACAGGCAATTTACTTAGAAAACAAAACCACTCTTGCGTCTTCAAAATTTCCCCTTTCCCCTAAGCTGTATTTCCTTCCCTAATACATTTCTCTTGAAATTATCAGACATATTCACATTTTAACAAGGCGGGAATAGAGACTAGTATCTCATTATTACTATTGTAAATCAGTGGTTAAACTAATTTGAAACAGAACGAACCAAAGTAGGTACCTATTCTGCAATATATAAGAACACTAAAACTTGTTTGGAAATATCGATCTGTCAGGTTAGGCTTTGCCCACCCTGAAAATGTAGATTTTACTCCGACCCAAGATAATCATTTCAATAAGTTCGTTCAATTCTCATTCCTATTTTTTTTATTCATTCCTTATCAGTATTCAAATTATCCCCGATGTCTTCTGTGCCCAAGCCTTCAGTTTCAGGAGAATTCACGTTAAATCTTGAACAGGAATTTACCGAAGACGCTTCCATAATAAATACATTCGGGTTTGGCAAAAGGGCGATAAAACCAAAAACCGTAAACAACTTGGGCTGGCGTTTAACATATACCAATCAGCTGACAGATAGGACTACACTCGGCTGGGCTTATTTCGAGGGTAACCGACATCTTAAGCTTGTAATTTCGTGAGTGTTGGCCGCGAGAACATTAAAGATTTAACACGCGACGCGGTGATGAAAAATCTGGTTTTATTTATTTTACAAGAACTGTTTGCCTTTTCGGATTCTTTCTAATTCATTTCTATTTACGAGCCAGCGGCAAAGCGAAACAAATTAAAAATAATGCACAAAACTTCAGCTCGGCGGATACTTTATTTAACAAATTTTCCTGCTGCAAAAATTACTCTAAATTATACCGGGTGTATGTATATAAAATTTAGGAAAAGATTTAAAAATCTTAACCTCGATTTTTCAACATCGCGAATAGCTGTATTTTATTATCCGATACAAGAACATTTTTGTTAAATTGCCTAGGAAAGGTCCTTTTGAGATATTATTTTTTCGAAATACCACCAAGAATACCCTGCTAATTTAATTACGAAATTAATTCGTATGCACAATACGTGAAACTGATATATCCGAGGAACAATGTATTGTTTAAACTCACTTAATCACGTTTAATATTAGAAAGGATCTAGCTATCTACGGCACTTGAATTTAACTCAAATAGGGGCAAATGTAGCAAAGCATAAATTTGCTTACATAAAATACTAGCTCTTGCAGTTTGATTTTTACAACTTTCTGTGACACATGACTTCATGGAAAGCTAACTTCTCGGTCAGTAACTAATTTTGAAATTTACGATGTAAGACGCACGCTTGAGAAAGGCCCTAAAAGTCGACTTTAATACTGTTAACAGCTAGGATGTTAATGGACCCCTTAGGTAGGGTTCAAGTCCCACTGGACACGGACTTTTCCAATGTAATAAAACGTTATTAGAGCATTAAATACACGCAATGTAGGTGTATATGTCCTGTAAGTTTTTACATGTTTGCTATGACTGATAATATAGACAACAAAGTGCATTAAAACAGATTTTACGACCAGAATTTAGCAACTACAACCAGTGGCAGCTCGTGACGGTGGAATATGATAGAATATAAAATATGCCTTAATGTCATACATACATTCTAGTAATCAGTTCTGTGTAGTTTTAAAGACCATCAATACTACTGTATTATTTTGTCCTACAGTCATTACCGGTATCAGCAAGTACATTATCAATGATGGCCATATCAGTCGACAGATACTTCACGGTGAAAAATTACCGCCCTATAGGTCAAGTCGCAAGTCGTCGGCAAGTGATGAGCATCGCCGTGGCGGCCACCTGGTTGTCCGCGGCCGTTCTAGCCTCGCTCCAGATTATTTCCAGGTTCAAACACCCATGGAAAAAAGGCCTGATGATAGGACGGATCACGATGGTGCATATCATACCGGCTTGCACAGTTATGTTGAGCCATTTAGGCGTCCATGCAAAACTGACGGCCCTATCGTTAACTGCTAGGGCCAAACATGGGGAACTACCACTGCCGATACCGCTTATCAGAAGGCCTACGCATGTCATTATAGTTGCTGGGATGCCGAAGGTGAGATATTTTTTTCACGCATTTTTAATCAATCGTGTATTTGTTGAAAATGTAGGTTTAATATTCAGAAAATTTAATTTATGACAACAAATTTTTACATGTTTTATAATAAAAAATCTGGGATATTATCCTTTAGTTCAAACAGTTCGATTTAAAGCTTTCCTCAAAAAACTACCCTATTTGAATGTTTATTGTAACTTTTTTAATTTCAGTTATTTAAAAAACAAAATACCTCACAACTTTACTATGACTTTAATTATAACTATTACGTCGAATATGAATATGTAGCCTTATCTTGAGAAATGTTATTTGGTCTCGATTTGGTTACAAATTTTGTTGTAATATTATCCTTTTTTTAAAATCTAGAATTAAATGACATCTTAAAATGAGTTCGTTTTTAATTTTCAACAAGATGTTACCATTTTTTTATTAAATATTTGGCACCCCGATCTAAAGAAAAAATGTAAAGAAAAACAAACGTTTCACTAATTATATCATGCAGAAAGAAAAATTAATTACTTACCATTGATCTCTAACCGGGGTCCAGCTGTCTACAAGGTTCTTAATGATTTCTTGATCCACTCATTCGCAAATAAACTGAAAAAGTAAAATGTTGTTATTTACTTAAATGTTTGTTGGCTCTAATAAATTATTTTTAAGCCGCATACATGACACTATATTTTTTATTTTTTCCCAAAGGTAAATAAAATTTCTTATTAAATAAAATAGAGGTAAACTTGTTTTCTTTCGTTTTTAATGTTTTTTATTCTCAAGATGGAATTCTAATTCTACAATTCATTACTGTTTTTATGATATCATATTATCATAAAAATGTTACTTTTAAGGAAAGTAGTCAATATAAGGTTTTATTGTGATTTCATAAAGCGATAATTTATTTTGACTGAATTAAGTAAAAAACCTGACTGTATTCAATGTTAAACAAGTATACAAATATTTTGAACATATTCATATGTAGTATACAAGTAATTTAATATTAACATTAGTTCATTTCATAAACATGTGGTAAGCTCTGCGTATTTTTAGACTACTATTTTCCCGTAATTTAAACAGATCGTATCAACATTTCAAATCAATGAATAATTAAAATATAAATGTAAAATAGTCTGTAGTTACTGAGGCATTAAGTAACAAAAAATAAATACTGGAAATTACTTATTTATAGAAACAATTACCCTGAAGTCTAATCTTGTTATAATAAAAAGCGGATCTGTTGACCGATGTTGGCCCACGACATGCCTACGACAGTTCAAATGACTAATCCAGGTATTGTTGGCTATAAAAAATCGTAGTTAGTATTGCCCACATTTTAAATGCACTCTTTGTTATACCACTCCACATAGTATCAACTTAAAGTTTGTATTAGATACTTTCGAATTTGTGATTAATTGTTTTCCCAAGTAATTTTTCAAATATGAAATTTATGATCGCCGTGTGCTACGCTATTTATCATTACTTACGTCATCACTCTTGCCTGGATATTCTCCAGTAACGACTCTGAAAATGTATACGGGGTTTCACAAAACCTCCAAAACAAAACTCAAAGAAAAATTAAGTGACAATAATAGCAAAACTAAAGAAACGAAATCAATTAAAATTACCTCAAATATCGAAGTACAGTATATTTCCATAAATCAGTTTCAAAATGCCAGTACTAGAATATATATACAGTCAGTTTCAGAATATCAATACTAGAATGTTCTGGTATATAGGAAAAACACGAATTTAGTATTTTTGGTACCTAACTGGCTTCAAATTAAAAATTATTAAATAAAACGAGCAACTACATTAATATAATTACCCAAAATGTTTTATATTAAAATCCTTAGAGTCGGTTCTGTCTAATGTTCTTAATTTTTACGTTGTTAAATTTTTATAACTACCTAGTTTTTCTTAAATATAACCCATGTCCTGATTCTGCTTAACGTGTCTACTGTATACGCATATATTTTAGAAGTTTATTTAACAAGAACTTTTTATGGAATATTTGAACTGAACTGAAAACTACTATACAAATTTGCAAAACATAGTCACAATTTATCAACTATTCATGTGCATTTTAAATAGTATTATCAGTCTGCTAAATCCATAAAATGCTAATTGACTTTTGATACGTTACATTGCAAAATAAATACAAGTATTGCAAACGGCAATTTATACCTACTTGCTTGCAGCAAATGCTTGTGGTTCCAACTTTCACCGAACTTCTATTATACCTATTATACAACACGCAAACACTGCAAACGTATATTGTTGGTTGCCTATATGCAACAATCAGACGATTTGAAAATAATTGAATACAACTTAAATTTTGGACTTAGTTTCAAATTTCAATTTTACTGTCAACTTAACAGTGTCAAGTGTAATTTTTATTGTTTTTATCCAAGATAACTTCGTATAATGTACACAACAATGGACGAGTCCATGAATCTTATGATACATACAGCCTATAAAGATTTGTATAATGTTCATACTAGGTACTAAAGTTAATTATTCATTAAATAAAACAACAATAAGTATGCTTGTATTAATAAATATTGGAAAAACATGCATAGATAATAGGGCTCTTAAAATGGAAGAAACAAAACGATATTACAGTATACTTACATATCACTTATGAAATGTATGGAGTATGAACAAAAGCAGTTGAATTATTTAATTAATAAAATATGTTATCAAAAAGTGACTTACTTTAGAATAAGCAAAATTATTGTAAAATCACAACCACACGCAAAAACGCCCGCACATTTTTTTGAGGTTAATGTAGCACTAGATTTTGTTTTGTTTTCTGTAGCAACAACCTACTAAATTAAAAATATAATTAATAAAGTACGTCCTTTTTAAAAACATAGTTTAAAATCATATTAATGTTTATCTTTCTACAGTTTTTATCATAATAATGCTATAGTTTAATATTTAATTTCAAACTGCAGACGTTTATTTGAATTTTTGTAATGTTAAAATTATGATCATGTTTTTAAAATATATACCTAAATAAACTTGTAATTTCTATCTTCTCAGATGATGTAGTAAGCACGTTTCCTCATGAAATTCTGTGAAAGGACTGCAAAAAATCACACAATGATAAAATTTGCCAAAAAGTATTAACATGATGTCTACAACACTGTTTATATAGTTGTAAATAACTAAACACTTATGATACAGTATTTCAGGACAAAAATTTATTATGTAAATAAAAATATTTTATTAATCTGTGTGCAGGATTATTCAAAGGACTGATATTAATTAAACAATCCATCAAAGTGATCATTTATGTTTGTGTGTGTGTGTGTGTGTGTGTATGTGTGCCTGACCCCTAACATGCATATAGGTACCTACTTAGTTGTATTCATATAATAAAAATATTTGCTATAATGTTAATCTCAACAAAGCAAGATTCTTTACGATTGTTTTATTTTTTTTCAATAATCTTTGATTGTCATAGTTTTGTTAGTGAATATATACCTATTTTATTAGGCAATATTACTTTGTTGTATAACTTTTGCAGTTATGACTAAAAAATCTAAGTTCAATTACTATTTTGGAATTTCTTTTTAGGGCAGAGAACAAATGAGAATACCAAATGCTCAAGATACCATCGAAGAAACTTCTCCTCCCACTTCAACCTTAAGAAGCAGAAGACGTTTAGCCAACTGCCTGCTGTGTTTGTCCATGTTCTTTATAATCTGTTGGTTCCCGTATGTTGTCTGTCAGTTCTATGAAGAACTCATGTCATCTCCACCAGAATATGTCCAACAAATAACTCTCTTTCTTGGTCATATGCATTCTGCGCTAGGACCTATTCTCTATTGGAGCATGAATCACAAATGGCCAAAAGGACCTTGCAGTAGACTTCGTAATTTGACGATATACAGGAGTGCTTCTTCTACTAATGAAGCAGCACTTGGACCTTTCAATCCCCGTCTAGTTCGACCTCCTCCTTACAGGAGGCGTTCTTCTCAATATCTGTATTAAACTCTGTGATCACCTAAGCCTCGCTGAGCAACTGACTCAGGACATGCAATATCTATCTTCTTGTTTATCTTACAAAGTCTAAGAAGCCAAGTTTTCAAAAAACAAAACCCAAAAAAACAATTGAAATCAAAATTTTATCCGAAGTTATATCGTGTGATAGCAAAAGGCTGACATAGGACAATTTAATGTTAACGTTGATGTTTTCTACTTCTTCCTTATTATCTCTCTTCTGAATTTCCTCAAATTCTTCGTACATCGGTCTTTTGAAATGGATGTTACTTTTCCAAATGTATTTAATCTCGTGTATTAAGGGCACGATAAATTGTGTCATCAGTGTAACCGATATATGTTTGATGTTGTCACAGAAGATTTTTCGAGTTTGAGCATATTCAGAAAAGCCGTTAGTGAGCGCAGTACTGAACAGGATAAGAAATGGACTGACTGGAAATGAATTAAGTAAGGTAAGCACATTTTTCTCCTTATTTAAAATCATTTTGTTTTTACGATTTATTATTTATATATGATTTCAGATAAAAGGAAAACTTGTATTTCTGTGTAACTACTCTTGCTTAGGAACATAAAAAATAATTGAAAATGCTTTATATTCAATATTTGAAAGAATATATATTTCATATCTTCAACTGTATTCACTAAATATTCTAGTTAGGAGTGAAATTGTCTGTTAATATATTTTTTATTTCAACATTCCCCAAATATTTTTTTGGTACTGGACAGATGATGAATTTAAAAAATACTCCAATTAAAATTAACAAATTCATATTTTCAGAACATATAGATATCTAGTCATTACTATTAATTTATTGAATCAAATTGTATAATTTGAAAAATATAACATGTTTATAATAAAAGAAAATTAAAAATAGGTAAATTTTTATTTTTAAGTGCCGCTATTAACAACTTTCTTTTTTAGGAACTCTGGATCATATTTTCTCATGAAGAATCGACCATAATTTTTGATTATTTTTATATTATCTCTATCACAAATATGCCAAAACTGTCAAGTCAGAACATATATTGACAATAAATGTTAATGAAAATGTTTAATATCTTCTTTACCCAACCCTTACAATAATCCATGTATCTTCTCGTTCATGACTTGCCATATATGCAACCATCTATACCAGGTAGTAGTAATTACCTTATATAATTTTGCACTGCATTAACTTCATTATTTTTAATAAAACTTAAAACGACTATTATCGGTATCTTAAAATCGAAATATACATTCTATGAATTAACACAAAAAATTATTCTGAATGAAAGAACATAGACAATTCTAAAATAAGCATATATTAGAATATTTCTTTATAGAAAAAAAACTGTTTTCTTTTATGTTACTAATAAAAATATTATAAATAGATACATTAGTTATCTGTCATTTTATATGCGTATATGAAAAGTAGAAAGAAAATCAGGGGCTCTAGTTATCACATGTTCAAATTCCATGTAAGAAAGTTTGCCGTCACCATCAACATCGGCTTCTTCAATTACTTTTTCAACAATTTGTTGCCTATCTTCAGGCATTAACTCTTGAGTGTGCCTCGTTAATAATAGCAAAGCCTGATCTAAATCTTCTGGCCCGATATGTTGGTCACAATCAAAATCTAAAAGAAATTTATTAAATAACATTGCATTAATAATTAAGATTTTGATGAATATTTGTACATTTTTACTTTTGAATTAAAAACCAATTAAAGTGATTTGATAAATATTCCAAAATTGAAAAATGTTAAATTTAAAATAGAATACTATTTCGCCATCTGGTGGCAGTTAGTCACAATATACTTCATATTACAGGTCTCAAATGTAAAAATAATAAAATAAATAGTATACATAATTATAAAACTTCAATATTTAAACCCGCATTATTATCATTATGATAGAAAAATTTAAAAAGTATTATGTCAATATTTCAATCAACGCAGCTGATTGGCTGAATAAAAGAAACCCACATCATTTTTTAAATTTAACCAATCAACTACTCCGATTTCAGGTTATATTCTCATAATCATGAGCGAAAGAATTCGCGTTTTATTATCTAAGATATACATTTTTAATACCAACCGAAAATGCGAAAAGCATAAAACACCTTTATATCTCTAGGAGCTTGCTCACTGAAAACGGAAAGTAAATCTAAGAAGTCCTCAAATGACAAATTGCCTTTTCCATCACGAGAAAATACCTCACATATTCTTATTTTAAATGGATTTTCCTGAAAATCAAATTAATACAAAATATTAAAAATTTATTCACTCAATTTAGTTACGTTTAGCTCTGGCAATTTTTCTATACTATCTTCGAGAGGTATCCTGATGTGAACAGCTTCATTTTCCTTCATTTGTTTTGGTACTATGTCTGGACGAACCTCTCGAAATCTTTTAAAAACTCTAGAACATAAAAGAAATCCCATATTGCATGCACCGAGAATGAAGTACCAACACTGTTATTTAAAAGAATTAAATACAGTACTCACCTTAAAATTTCTTTTCTTGTGAAAAATGTGCAATCCTAGTAAAACGAAAAGAGAAATAAATTGTATAATGAAATCCAAACAATTTATTTTTACCTGATAATTTTCTAATTGTTGATCTGTAAATGTTACTAACTTATTCCCCATTTTGGTTCATGACGAAACGAATATTAGCTTTTTTATTAGAGGAATCACATCGACTTCTACCCTGATCGCCATGACAACTAAGGTGCGGCAAAAGTAATTTATCAAATTAACTATTGATCGTACGTGGCTAATAATTTGTGTCGCTATTTCATTAATTTATTTTTCCACCCTACACAACTTTGTTCTCAAATTCAGTCACAATTCAACATACGATTTTATAAAAGAGTGCATTTGACGGTAACTAACTGCCACTAAGCTGCCATTTCGAATTATGTATATATTTTTTTTATTGAAAATAAACCTTTCCTCATAATGTACATACAGTTAAAGGAGAGTCGAAAATCTTCCGGTTTTTTAATTTGCCAAAACGTTTACTGTTTTCTATACCTGTCTACCTAATATGACATTTAAACGATAATGTTTCTTATCACAACTACATCAATAAAGATTTCTTGGGATTTATTAGATTCATGACGTCATTCCATTATACCAATTTACAATACCTGTGCATTGGTAGATGGTATACCAACAAAGAAAATACACTATTTTATATTTTTTTGACGTTTGACATTTTAACTTTTCACAAGAGCGCTTGCGTGCGATAAAATTTTGAATTTGTGTTGTGTTGCTGCTGTAAATTTGTTTATTTACACGAAAAAATGTCTTCAAATTACCCCAATCATAAGCCAAATGACCGTTTAAAAAGAGCCAAAAGTGAAATATCACATAATCGAATTTCAGCAGAAACTCTTAGGACTGAATTTCGAACAGTTAGTAGTTACTTTTTATTTAACCTCACTTTTAATGATTACTTTTTTAGCAATTTTTCAATAGACTGAGGAGTACCCGCAGTAAGAGTGTTGACAGATTCCGGCAAATTGTTGAGGATTATGGAGATACAATTAAGTCTATAAGTGACGTACGTAGAATATTACTCGAAGATAAGGTCGCATCGAGTTTGCTACAGTCTGAACAAGTGAATGAATTACTAAATTTAATTGAAAAGGAATTAGAGCAGGTCCATCTAAATAAGGAAACTGAAGAGTATGTGAATACTATGCAAAACGAAACTGAGGACACGGTGAACAGACTTCTCAACATTTGTCACGGATGTGGCAGAATATGCGAAGATAGTATTTGTACTAGTTGTGCAACTGCGTTTTCTACTGACTTTAATTAAATTTCTGATTGACTGTTTGTGTTATATGATGTTTCTATTTATTATCGACTGTTGAATATATTCAATGTTATGTTTAGTGTTGGCAAATATTGTATCACATTTGTTAAAATTTAAGAATTGAATAAATTTTTGTAATTTTTCTATAATATGTAATGTATTTATTTCATATATTTATATTCAATTTCTACACTTTACAAGCGAAAGTAAATTCAACAAAATTTTAATCTAGTTTACGTATAATTAAATTAAAATTAGTTTGCAAATAAGTCTCAAAAATTTAATATATTAAATATCACTTAATTTAAAAACTTAACGAATAATGAAATAAAACACATTTTTTGCTATAAACTTTATATTTTCAGTTTTAATATTTCTCTCTACACGACATGATAATTTTATTAAATATTTTATTTACGTACTGAGATAAACCACCGTATATAGCACTTATTTTAAATATACTCTAACAATTTTAAAGAAATTGCAATGAAGTTAAACATTTTTCTGTCTAATTTGCTTTGGCATGCACATTTTTAACATCCAACCTAAATCAGCTTAACAGTACAATCTATGAACATGGGTGGTTTTCATACTTTTTTTCGCGGTGATTGCATAAAAATCACAATTTCTTTTTATTTTTTGTCATATATTTATCATTACCCCTTTCTGCTGACATTCATAGATATCAAAACACACAATTAAAAACTCACAAGTGATAAAACATTTCAATTACATACAACCTGAGACTTTTCTTACAGGTCCAAGATTAAAAAGGCCCGACTGTCTAAGTGTAAGAGTACATCTATTTATAACATATGTTTTTTAAATCAATGTTTTATTATGATTTTATAGGCCCGGAAATTTCTCGACAGCCCTGACAATTACATACAATAATTCTGTAAAATACAATTAAATATCAATTAAAGACAAGAACGTGATACAAAAAAGATATTGTACTTTTATATAAAGCATAAAAACTAATTTACATAATTAAAAGTGCTCCTTAATTAATGATAAAAACATTTAAAATATCTACACACCAAATATTATTTCTATAAATCTTGATTTAATTATATACATACAGATATCAATTGGGTGCAATCGACACCTAAAATAACTGCTAGGATTTTTTCATAGTCAACATTGTATTTATCTCCCAAATAATTCTCCTTAAATGATCAATCACCTCTTTCAGTTGTTTATTTTTTAATACAACTTGCTCCATAACCTCCTTACTTTCTTCACATGCTAATCGATAAGCTTCAGAATTTTTCTTTTCATCGTGTTTAGGATCTATTTCGTCTTTGAAAGGTATCAAACTTTCTATGTGTGTATATTCCATCCCCTGGATTTGACAGTTTTCATTGCATTTTTCATAAATCAACCGTAACCTTTTAAAGAGAACCCTTATGGTTCTCAAGAGTTCCTGCACTTTGGCCTTTTTTTCATTACTGGCATTCAAAGACTGCGGTATCCCATTTGGTGGCTGCATTTTTTTAATAAAAAAAAACGCTTGAATAATCAATGATATAAACTACTTCTTGCTAATTTTATAGTTTTGTAATACGTAATAAAGAAATTTGTACATACAGTAGCGTAGAACCCCGATTATTCGTGATCTACAGGACCAAAAGTGGCACGGATAATCAAAACATTTGTTTAATTTAGTATTAAAAGTGTAACTTTTACACCATTTTTTTTACCACCAAATGATAAAAAATGTATAACCTGTATCTTGAAACTGATAAAAGAAGGTATAATGCTCGTTTCAAAGTTAGTGTAAATTGCAAAAAACCTACAGTTTCTGTTAGTTTTCTGAAAATTGCCAAAATGTCGCTTAGTTCCTTTTAATTTTTACATAAGAAACGTAGTAATACATATGCACAAAATCACTGAAAATGCAATTTTCTGTTTTTCTTTATTTTCTGACGTATATTACGTAAGTTTAAAATGCCGACTTACTCAAAATAGGCTTATAGAATATTTACAACTTCTGCAGATTGGAAGTGTTAGCCACAACACATGATGTTATACGGTCTTTACTGAACAAAAATTCAAAATAACGCGTCACCACAAATTCCTAGACATAACAAGATTAATCCGCACCCCGGACAATTCGCACACAGATAATCGGAGTTCTACTGTACAAAAAAAAAATATATATAACATATTCCATATACCTGAATGGATTTCAATGTTTGAAACACCTCCTGAGTTCTACTGACAATATCTTGAACAGTCTCTTGACCAAGGCGACACAATGATGCTGTGTTAAATTCCTTTGCTTGCTGTTGTTGTTGCTGTACAGGAACTGAAGGAGGAGTTGGTGCTACACCAGGAGTCTGTTGAGGCATTTCGTGATGGTTCAAAGCTGGAGCGAATTCTGAAAATTGATATATAAGCACTTTACTGAAACTAGAAAATTTAGTAAATTTTACCCATCGGTCTCTGCTGCATTGGCATTTGTGTGGGGCCCTGGTGAGGTGTCATCTGACCGCCATTCATTGAATTATTCATTGGACTGCTCATAGTGAAGTGCTGATTCATCTGACTTAACATAGGAGACCCTCCATTCATGTTTGGATTCATCTGTGTGTTCATTGCACCATTTATTGCATTGGACATTTGAGGTACCATAGGACTTCCCATCGGATTAGACATCTGTACTGGCATTTGGTTTGGCATGGCGTTTTGCATCCCCCCAGGTGCCATTTGAGTTTGCATAGGGCCAGGACCAAATGCATTTCTCATCCCTGAATTTGATATAAAATCATGTATCATATTATTTTAGATACTCAAATTTCAGGTTCTAACATAAATTTTCTATTTTAATGATAAACTTATAATTTGACGTTCATTATTTTATTACTTCTGTATTATAAAATTTTTGTTTTATTGATTTTTACCTGATTGAGGAGGATTACTCAAATTTTGCATAAAATGATGAGGTGGAGCAGCCATTTTCTAAAATTAATTAATAGTAATAATAATAGTTGTTATTTATAGTCCTGATAGTTTCTGGTTTGGCATCTAAATATCTGGAAACTCCATAAAACAATACAACCCCAAAACATCCATATATTACAAATAAATCTATTGTCTCCTTATCGCTATTGATGTTATTGACCTCAGTCGCCAATGTTTCTGCCAAAACAAAAACTGAATTAAAATCTAACATTTGGGACGGGTTTCTGTTTTACTTCGTGAACAAAAAACAAATCTATTTTCACAAATTCAGATATAAAAATAATTTTCTTGATATCAATACATAAACACCAATTAACACCCTCACAATCATAAACAAAATATAAAAAACGATAAATATTAAATAATCGGTTCTTTCTTCTTCTTCTTCCCTTCTTTCGTTGCATTCGACCCTTGGACATTAGCCAGCTTATACCATAACCATATAATGGTTATTTCCTTCGAAGAATGGCTGAACTAAAGTGCAAAACTTTTCTCGCTCGAGGGAACGCCATTATTCCATGGCTAGAAATTGGCCTCAATGATTTGGGATCGAGGGGGATTATCCCTCTTTATCCTGCCTCATCTCGTGTAGGCCTGGACAGCCTTCGTAGGTGGGATAAACGTGCTTCACGCACAACTAAATGTTGCATGGGAATAGAAGGAAGACCCCAAGTTGATTAAAAATATGTTTGCATATAATTTGGGAGTTTGAAAATTATTTATTTGTAGTATCTGTTTCTTCATATCATAGCACTCATCATACCATCAGCGCTGTTTTGGCTTCAAAGTCGTCCGTCGATTTAAACTTATTTCAGGATCATGAAACTATATTTTAAATCTAACACTGCTCAGAGGTAAGTGAAATCAAGAAGATTTCGGAACGTGCTACTCTGTATATTTGCATAGGTGCAGTGAACTCTGGATAATATAGAATTAAAAATACAAAATAAATAGAAGATAATAATATACATATGACGATTTCTAACCAAAGCTTTTTATTGATAATAATGCCTATAAAACTTTATATTCCACACTATCGTGTGGTTTAAGGTTTAGATGAAAATGACACTACTTTTGAAAATCCCGGGCTTTTACTTGCGCATACGCGTATATAGCACATTAAACCGCAGGCCGCAGAATGAAAACGTCGGTAGATATGTCCAAATTCGTTATCTACCAATTTTAATAATAAAAAAAAGTAGAGTTGTCGAGGAATAATGAGAGGTGGATTTGATCACAAAAAGTGAAAAGGAGCATAAGTACCATTTTGTGTTATAGTGCAGTGATTAATTTATACCAAAAATTAGAGAAGTATTTGCATTGATAAGCTAAAAATGGCAGCCCTACCACGCAGGATAATTAAAGAAACCCAACGATTAATGCAAGAACCAGTGCCGGGAATTAGTGCTGTACCCGACGATAGTAATGCTCGTTATTTTCATGTTATTGTGACAGGCCCTGAGGACTCACCCTTCGAAGGGGGCCTCTTTAAACTAGAGTTGTTCCTCCCAGAAGACTATCCCATGTCTGCACCCAAAGTAAGATTTATAACAAAAATATATCATCCTAACATCGATAGACTTGGTAGAATTTGCCTTGATATATTAAAGGATAAGTGGAGTCCTGCATTACAAATACGCACTGTTTTATTATCTATTCAAGCCTTACTTAGTGCTCCAAATCCAGATGATCCTCTAGCTAATGATGTAGCTGAATTATGGAAAGTAAATGAATCAGAAGCTATTCGAAATGCTAAAGAATGGACCCGAAGATATGCAATGGGCAATTAAATATTTCCTTGACAGGGCCACAGTAAGAAACATAACCATTCTACTCCAATGATTTATATTTTATTTTAATTTATCGAGTAAAAATGTGGAATTCTTATGTTTTTTACTATAGTTGTAAAAAATTTCTGCTATTACGAGATATTTCTCAAATTATAATTAAGCATTTTAATATTTTAATTTCTAGTGTAAACAAATCTCTATTGTTATTTATAATGTTGTATATTATAATTTCTTTTTTTTTTCATAAACATTTTATTGGTTTAAAGATCCTTTTTTACTTGTATTTTGCTCCTTGATCTCTGCTTTTAGTTTTTGGTTTTAAGTAATGAAAATTATCTTCAGTTGGGTTTGAGAAGTATTAAAGGATATTTTTCTTGCTTCAAATGTGTACAATTTAGCAACAATTCCGTGCTTAGTTGCACCTGAAAAATGGATTTGTAGTTTGTTGTAAATAAAGGTATGTAAGGCTTTTTACAAATAAATTCTTTACACTGAATTGTCAATTCTACATTATTTAAGACATGCTTTGTTATAATCACCACCATTTTTCTTCTCTATAGTATGTAATTTTGATAACATTATTTACAAATTTACTGCATCGTTTCAAAATATCTCAAAAATTCTTGTTTTCCACTTAAAAAGTACTTGGAAACAGCAGAAAATCAAACTTGATACTAATAGCCTTACAAAAATAGTTACTTTTTAATTAACAGATAAGTAGCTAGACTTCATGTCAGCAAACAAGTAAATTCTAAATTTAAATACAATAAATTTAAATGTTACTCTTGTGCTTTCATCTAAATTATGTAAAACAAAATGAACAAAGTTACCGCTATAAATAGCAGGAGTGCCAAATGTATTCTTATTTTGTAAAATGTTTTATAAATAAATTTTATACTTACTGCTGATAGATTTATTCTAAAAAATTTATTAAAAAAATCTATTTTGAATTTCAACCCAAGATCCACTGGCAAATAAGTTTATCATTAAAAACCACAGACAAATGAATTTCTTATTTAAGAGAAAAAAATCGGTTATAATGCACACGATATTTTAGAAACTATAGTTGCATTTTTTTGGAGATGTAATATTTAGTATATGAAAAACAATTCAGTTAAAGTTCAATTTCATTGATTGATAGTGGCATGACGTTTTAAATTTAAATTTGAGCTATTTTAAAAAGAGGTGTTTTGCAAAGTGAAAAGGAAAAATAATTCTTATGTACCGAATGATTTTTATCATTAAATTTACACTTGCTGTATTTTATCTATGGATTTGCCATGTTCTTTACATTTCAAAACATACTAAGGATTTGTAGAAACAATAACCTCGTACCTATTTGTATTGTATTACAGTTCAAGGACTCCAAACAATTCAATTAAATATTTGTTTCCATTTTTCATGACATAAGTTGTAGAAACTGATAAGTTTAAATTAATATTAATAACGAAAACTGTTAATAATAAAAGATTATTCGGCAATCCAATTAAGCTACCTTTAACAACAAATGCTTTTTATATTCTAGAAGGTAATGAAAGCATAATTTTATGCTCAAGGTTGTGAAAGGAATTTAAGTTTTTTTATTTAAACCAACCAAACTAACTTTATATTGAGGTATCTTACGTAAACTATATCACTGAAATTGTTTTAATTACCTTAGATATTTCATAATAGGTTTCATGGTTAGTGGGGAAAACGCAGTGTCAGAACTACCATATAACAAGAGAGCAATGCGAGAAGGCCCATACCACTAGGAAATCCTCAACTTTATTTTTGATAGATTTTGTCGACAAATTAATTCAATGCTTTTAATTTTAATAAGTATATTACGCAAAAACCAACTAAAAATATTTCAATTTGCGGTTGTGGATGTGAGCATAAAAGATTTCACTTTTGCCAAAACCCAATGTAAAGCATTTGCATAGTTTTAAAAAAAAATTGAATATTTTGTATAAAGTAATTTGTTAAGAATAAGAAATCTTGGATCTAAAAATACTAGACAGCAAAATATGATTGGGTTAAACGTTAGTAGTGTATTGTGCAACTTAAAAATTGTCGGTTTTAGTTTTTTTTTGCAACAATAATTCCTAACTTATTTTGATATAATTCATAGGGGGAGTTAGGTATACCCTGTGAAACAAGCAAGAGAAACAATACAATAACTGTAAAGTGCAATTTAAATTTCTAGTGTAATCGTATATTTAGGCATTAAGTAGATATGAAATCAATGAAATGTGAAAATATATTAAGTGTACTTTTCTGGATTTTTCTGAAGTCTATCGTATGGTTTACATATCTGCGATCGAAAAATTTTGTACAGAAATACATTAAATACTTTTAATTAAAGATTCTTTTCGGCACTATCACAATCAAGTGCAAGTTAACATAAGCTTGTGTTTTAATTTTGGGTAAGTCATTAACGTGCCTGTGCCCTGGCAGCCTACAGGCTGCGGGTCTGCGAGTGCGCCCCTTTAAGGTTTGCGTCCCTGGCAGTCGCCTCCACAGCCAGCCATTAGCTATGTCGTATCAATCAGTGGGGGGAGACATGGTGGGTCACTATTTCTGAAAACCTCAGAACCTCGACGGCATTGGATATTCAGGAAATTCAATCAGTTTTCAATTTAGATGCGAAAAAAGGAAGATCTCTATGCCAATGATTTTTCTACAAAAACCATTTTAGTTACAGTCATACGAGTATTACTCATATGGTTACAATGTAAGTAAATATTTCTAATACGAAGTTTATACAGTAATGATTTTTTTCAACAATTTAATAAAAAATAATTGAATTCAACTGGACGTTGTGTAAAAGGCCCTAATTTTGAAGTTCTGCGATTAGAAAATTGGGAGAAAAGGAAACGACAAATATGCTTTGTAATTGTATTTTGTAAATATTTGTTACACATTAAGTTTTTATTATACAGACAAAAGGAATGGCTAAATACATGAGACAAATGAATTACTTAGTATTGGAACTGTTTTTGTAGGCATGATATGGTTAGATTAATTTTTAACAGGTTTTTGAAATGAAAAATATGATTATAATGACGCATTCCATTTAATAACATAAAAATTTAAAAATGATAAATATTATCTATGTTGTAACATACAAAGAGATATAAATAAAAACATTTACAACTAATTTAAAAAAATAAAGAGTATTTAAATAACTAAATTGTACAAATAAATAAAATATTCACATTTTTTATAACGGTTAATCAGACTCCATAATACACTTCATAGATTAGTGAATATACAAATTCAATACTCTTAATCTACAAATTAATTAATAAACATAAAATGTACAATTATTTAAAAGCTCATATCTATAAACTAAATCCTAGAAAAGTATTTGTTCATGATAAATATATAACATTTAAAGAAGACAAATAAACCCAAATTTTAAAAGGGCTGCGAGTAAAACCAAAACACAATCTTACGCATCTTATAAAAATAAAAAAATTTGACCATCGGTCACAAATTATTTGTTCTACTTTCAGATTTATAACGATCAATTTGGGCCAACTGTTTTTCATTTCATTTTTGTACTATGAAGTCTATTAATAATATATAATACAGTTATTTAAGGATTAATAACTTTTTTTTCAGAATCTTACCATAGCCCTACCATTCAATAATTAAAAATTGTACTTCAATTTGGACTAGGTTACTGTAAATCAATAATTAATATAAAAATATAGTACTCCCTGGATGACTCTATCTCTACAATAACATATGTCTTCCTACAATCGCAAAATGCTTTATGATCGAAGGAAAAACAATATCTACGAAATCATACTTTAAAAACTGATCAAAATCGCTGTAAGATATGCAGCAAAAAGATCAGTTCATTTATCACAAGGCTTTGTTGGATTTCATAATAATCTCATTAATTATGTGTATATTTATTCTAAAAATATATTTTGTTTCTACTTGTTGAATGGTATTACGATATGATAATATTCTGAAAAAATTTACTGATGTGGACATTAAAAACAGCAAAAAACTATTTTTACATCAGTACATTTTACGTAGAGAAGTTACAAAGATAAATCTTGCTCAATATAAATTATACATAAAAAAAACTATCAATGCTGACTAGAGTACTACAGTAATTTTGAGCCAGCATGTTGAAGGTTGGGTAAATGGAATATTTCTCTTTTTAAATTAATATACAGGGTACACTCAGCATAGTCTCTTTACAAGAACAACCTTAATATTTTATCCTCAAATCATTCTTTATCAAATTAATGCGATTTTACATAAAATTCCTTTCAAACATCTATACATTCTACAGCAACAAAACAAAATATATTTATTTACTTAGTTTTTCCATAAAAAGCACGGAAAGAATTTTGCATATTTGGATATCAGAAAATTTATATTTAATAATTTTTTAAAATTCTTTGCAACATTGTGGTCTATGTAGTTACGATGGAAATAGGTTACTGTTGATTTTATTTGAATTGTCATGGAAATAATGCATATTTTCTTTAGTAATATATGTGACATTTTTACTTTAATTATGAAAATATATGTATATGTAACAAAACTATTCATTATAGGTAAATAAAAGATTTTGACCATTAGTAATTTTATGTTAAATTCAAAAATTAAGTAGAATTTCCATATATAATAGCAAAATTTATTCTATTATTTTCATGGATTATTTGTGATCACGTATTTTTAGCAATGATATTAACACAAATTGAAAACAATATCTATTAAATAATCTAAAACTGTTAATCCCAGGTTAATAAAATTTCTAGTTACAAAGTAAGAAAGAAATCAAGTGTAACCTATTTCTTTGGTCTTCTTGTTATATCATGTTTAGTGTAATTTTTAGTAGATCACAGAATGAAATAAGAAGAAAATCATGGTCTTCCATCAAGTGAAACTAAATTTTTCATGCTCACAAACAATTTAATAAGTGACTAATTTGTTTAGTTGGGTTTATGAGAATGAAATATTCTTTTAAGCCAACCAACAGTCTTTGGTATGCTCACGTTCACAACAAATAAATAGATTATGCGACAAAGCAGAGATATGATCTATCACGAAAGCTCAGCGCAAAAGTTTTGTGCAGAGCGCAGTTCTTTGCTTGTATTGTCTTCAGTCTGTAGAACTTATACTAACAATAAAAAATATATTGATCTGCGACTCAAGCACGATCAAACTTAAAACAATTCCCAAGGACAGTCAATATCAACTACAAGTAGGCACTTTCGAACCTCGGTTAGATTTTACTTAGATGTACACTGGATTCTCTTGACCGGTTAGCAAACGAAACATGGAAGTCGGCATAGTTTTCATCAGTATCTAATAAAACAAATAGATACATTTACCTCTAAAGGCAAAAAAATCTCTAACGAATATAATGAAACAATTATTTCTATGTATTCTACAGGGTATACAAATAAGATATTTACTAATAAATATTAAAATTTATACTCACTTCACCTACAGAAGTGGCAAGTAAATTCACGATTTTCTCATGAGGTACAGCTACTACACTTTGGTTATTTATTTCAATTATTCTATGCCCCACTCTAACGCCACCACGTTCTGCTATACCTCCTCTTAACAAACTGCATATCTAGAAATATCAGATATTTTTAAAAAATAATATAGATTTTAAAAAGAAAACTTTTCAGTTATTTTTTTAAGCTGCGTTATAATTTTCTTTACTCACCACTCCATTCTGCACACTGAACCCAAGTTGATATTTAGTATCAGGCCTCTTGATTTTGACTTCAACAACAGGAGCACATGGTACAACAGTTAATTTAACTACAGTTTGATTCTTGGAATTCTTTATATAAGTTTGACATGTTGATAGTGGAAGGCCAACTAAACTAACACCGTTTATAGCAATTATTTGATCACCAATGTTTAGTTGACCACATCGAGCTGCTGCGCCACTTGGTGCTAAATTGGCTATAACGACAGTTGGTAACATTGATCCCCACCCGGATTCTACTATAACAACACCCAAAATCTCTCCTTTAGCTTTTGGTACCACCACCTAAAAGTATCACAATAATAATAATAATAAAATATATTACATAGCTCTTACTTCTTTCTGCATTTCTTTTTTAGCGAACATCTGCAGCTCATCTCCAAATATTTCCTGCGAGTTTAAAACTTCTTGATAGTCCATTTCCTTGACAAAACTGTGGTCTTCTATTCCATTCGCCTTCAGAAACTCCATGTATGCCACCTGAAATGCTTGACCTATAGACTGAGCTATGAACTGAGCTTCTTCACTTTCAAAAACATGACAGATCATTTTCGGAGTCCTGTTTATCTTAGGAGCGTCTTCCATTTCATGGGGCACAAATCTTCTTCTAGCCATAAGGACAACTAAGTCACCAATATCCGCAATGTATGAAATCGTTCGTAAGGCATGATCCATCATTATTTCCTTTAAATCTGTATTGAGAACCATGATTTTTTCGGTCGATATGAACAGATCAACTTCTGTGCTTGGTTGGCTTTCTCCATCCGGGGCCTAACAACAATACAGAATAGAGACAGGCTCGTTTTTTACTAATATATTTGCTTACCAAAGCCTATGTCCAAAGAAGACGCAATGAAAAAAATGATATTGTTAGTATATTAGTTAACATTTATTATATGAATGGATGATAATGTATAGAGAAAGTCAAGCTGTTCCTTATATACACCAGCATTAAGTTACCACAACCCGTCCGTACTACAAAATGGTTTACTAGTGTGAAATGAATGATTAACGTAACTCAGAAAATTTAATGTCGTAGCAGGTTTATTACAATAATGAGGAAAAACAAGATGATGTGATAAAGCTGCATAGGGAAAATTTATATCTCACAAATTATATAAACATATATCACTAAAGCACAAGCAAGAGAAAATAATAATCAGTGACTTTTTAAAAAGTGTATATATATTGTCAATTTTTTTATAATTCACTTAATATTTACACTGTAAATTTTCTTTCAGAAATAAGTGCGATATTTTTTTTAAATTACTTTGCAACTATTAGTAACAATTACTACTGAAACAAAACATGCCTGGTTTTAACGAAAAATGCACGAAATAAGTTTATATGTATTGGCGGGTTTATAAAAAAGTCTTAGCCCTAACTTAGCCTTAAGGCCAAATTTCACTGAGGGTGGTCCAGCCAGACTGGCGTAGTCAGGCGGATCCAAAATGTAGTATAACAAATCGCCAGCGCGATTGTAGGTAGCCAGCCTGGCAGGACCAGCCTCAGTGAAATGCGGCCTATAGCCTTTACCCTAAAAATTTAAGCGTATAGAATTCAGCGTGCCGGTTTATAATAATCCTAATCTAGTCTTAATCATTAGGTGGACTAGGAAGTTAGGACTATGATCTTTTTATACATTCATCATATAATTGTACAGGTAATTTTATTTTATCACTACGGTCATTAAGGAATAAAATATGGGCCAGTGTCTATAGTTTTTAACTAATAATAGGTAACTGTACTAATCAATTCATACAGGAAGTGCATAGTTAATGTTACGATTTAATTGATTGATACAAAAAATATTGACGTTTCCAATTCGAGTACAATACACACTTCCTGCTCACTGAGAATCCCAGGGAACATTCTGAAGATATTAAAACACAGTCATGTAAAAGAAGGGATTTAAAAAATTAAGACAGACCTTAATTTTTGTTACAGCTACTTCTACCATATTTTTCTTGAGCCGTTTTCGTCGTTTCCTACCCCCTTCCTCATCCACCTCAACAGAACCAAGGAAATGAAGACGAAAAACTGTTCCAGCAGACCCAACACCAAAGGGGTTTTCGTTGAAATGCGGTGATCCCTCTGTAACTACTTTTCAATCATTGCATTTGCTTATACAAAATATACCCATCAAACTACGATAATTTAAAAAATATCCTTCAATTGTTCGGAATACGTTATGTAACATGTGATGATGATTTTATAAATTCCCTGAAACTATTAACTTCTTTATCAATGTCCATTCTTTTACAAAAAATTGAAAATAATAAAGTTTCCTACAAAAATTACTTTGTATAGAATTTACAAATAGTTGAACATAGTGAAAATATATAAAATCAGCACTGTCTTTACATATTTTAATTCACTCTCTACCATTACTGCAAATTAAAAACACTAATTATTATATTAATTATTCCTCCTCTGTACAGGAAAAAAATCAAACAAAAAGCAATATGTAGAATCAAATTAAAGAATATTGTAGTTTGATGTTGCGTGAAAAAATAATGCAATGTTTGAAAAGCTCACCGCTTGTATGTGGTTGTACAGTATTTTCAGCAATCGAATCTAGTTCCGCACCCATTTGGGACTCGTCGTCAAGGCTACCACTTTCGGGACTGCTCGGGGCATATTGTTGCCCGTAGCTTTGAATCATCTGGTTGGATACCTCCTACAAGTTTACCCTTGTCACACTACCAACGTTTCTATTGCATCCGATATCTACTCTAATTGTCACATCTAGTAGTACAACATTGAAAGGAAAACTGTACTATTACGCACAATTCGCGGCGTAACAATTGCTGTGCATAATTTCTATGTACAATTTAAAGAACATCCAAAGCAATGGACAGAAAGGGAGTGCGACATAGTGAAGTCCAGGTAAAACATGTAACAGGCAACCAACCAAATAGAGCACATAAAGCGTGCACCAAAGGGGCATTGCCGTTTCAAAGTGGGGAAGGGGGTACAACGTACAGAATATCATGTCCAATTTATTTAAAAAAAAAACACTCAGTCTTTAGAAATATTCAAAGTTGGGGTTAAATTATCCGTGCCACTAGTCTAAAGACATGCTTGTTCATGCCTTTTTAAATTTCTAGATTAAAACCAAAATGCTTCATTTTTAATTATATAACATCAAATGGACAAGGTTCCACATGCTTTTTTAGTACATACAAACAGTTTTATTAATTTTTTTGCATCAATCGACAAGGATATGAAACAAGTTCAAAGCTTCTGTATATTGTTTACGGTTGTGTTAAACTAATATCTTGAACAGTAGCGTATACAGACCCCAAAAAGTGAAGGCAGCCTTCCCCAGTAAATTAAAATTTTAGGTAAAATTAAATCTAATAAATTTCACATCTGGTAGAATTAAGCTCCCCAATCTCCCCTTGTATATGCCACTGGTCTTAAAATTCTGATTAAATATGTTTAAAATTATTTTTAAGGCATTGTTAGGTCCAGACTGTGAACATTTCAAAGCAATATGTAATAGATGTTTAGAGCAAATTATACGGAAATATAATTCTCATTGTTTAATTTTATCTAAAACAGTAACAGTAACAGAACTACAGTGGTATATTAGTTTTTAAAGAATGTTTGCAAGACATCAAGAAACAACAATTCCCTAATACTCAACACTGTTTCTGTTCTAAATTTGTGGAAGCACAAGACTTATACCTTTCTCGAAAGATATAAATTTGAACTACTAGCTAAAATTAATTAGTGGGCTATCTATTCCATAAGATATTTTACCAACATTTATAAAGTGAAAAATTTATGTACAATTATAACAGTCCATACATATTTTTTTTAATAGCGTAATATAATATTTCATTGTGTAGTAATTTTATCGGTTGTTTAGATAATTAAATACACACACAGGATATTTTGCACATGGATTTAACAAACAATAACAATAAAAACAATGATTAAAAAAAATACAAAAAAATGCATGAGTACAAAAAAAAATAACAGTTGTGTACTATTTTTAAGTATTAAATTTTTTTAAGGGAGATAATTTTTTAATTTCTAGCATACTTTCTTGGTCACTACTGTAAAGATAAAAGAAAAAAAGAGAGAGAAGGATTAAAAACAACTTTTGAACCCAAATACAGATAAAAACAAAAATATTTTTCTTTGACTATGTTCATTTAAAAGTTTTGAAAAAATAAAACGTGTACTTTTCAGGTAGGTAGTCAAATCAGTGCTCACAATTAAAAGTATTTATGAATATATACACATGCATTACCTTAATTCTGGAGACAGCTTCTTCAGCTTGCATCATCCTAGTGGTTTTCGTGGGCTGACCTTCGCACACTAGTTGTGTTGATCCTAAATATCGTGCTCGGAATAGCACTCCTTCTATTAATACTGAACGTTGTATAACATCTGCAAAGAAAGAAGGAAATTTTAGTGGAAAACTTTACCCATTGGCACCACTTAATGTTTTAAGACTACTGAGAATGAAACTGAGCGAATTTTGAACCAAATCAATACAAATCCATAATTGCACAAAAATATAATGCAGCTCTATAACCCTCTACCAATTATTAAAATTATACAAGGTGTCCTAAAATTAACTTATAGTCCTGAATCAGTTGTCGAAAAAAATGAAGAAAATGAAGAAAAAAAAAGTCTGACTACATTGAAGATCACTAATGAAACTATAATCCATTATATCCGATAGGTAAAACAATCAATATTTATCAAAATGTTCTAAAAATATGTTGAATTAAACATTTAAAATTTTTTAATTATATAAAGGCATATCCTTCAGAGGCATTTTTAGCTGAAGTTTATCAAAATATTTTCCTTTGTGATTTTGGGACACCTTGTACAAATATTACTACAATTTTACAAACAAAAATATTACTACTGAACATACAGGGTGATCTTAATTGTTGGAAATGTCAAAATTTTCAAGGAGTTTCGTTAATTTGTGTAATTTTAAATGCCACAATATGAAGTCTTTTTTCAAGAAGTTTCACAGTGTATACACAAATATAATGGTATATTCACACTGTGCAAGTCAGCAAAAAAAAGCTTAATTTTGGAACATCCTGTATAATATTTACATTTGCAATTTTAATAATTTTTATTTTTAGGATGTATAGATTTGGAGAATGGGATTGACGAAATGTATGAGGTAAGATGTTTTAGTTTAAAATCCCTTTAATATCACGATTGGACTTACCATAAAATTCCAAATGCATTGCAAGTTAAATAAAGTAGTTATTTGTACAGAAAATGATAAAAAAAAAAAAGTAAAAACCGTCACTTACCTTCCTTGTTTCTCCCTTTCTTTTTATTGTCTTTATCCTGCAAATAAAGATGTGTTTAAAGTTAGATATCTTGTGGTAGGTTACCATTGATAGATATGTGATTAATGTTAACGGGAAATGCTTATATACATGTTCCGAAGCTTCTAAATTTTAATGTTTCATTCTGGTATGTGTGGAGTTATGTTTGTTGTTTGTTTTGTTCTGTTGTTCACTAGGCTGGGTACTAAACATAATCAATTTCCTTGAATCAATGCATGAGTTTAAGAAAAAATTTTGTGTAATTAATGTTTCATTTAAGTAAAAAACAGAGCATTTTACATTTTTTCTTAAACTTCGTAAAATCAACAACACAACTAAACAGAACCTATTTACAAAGAGAAAATTGCTATTACTTTACCCCTTTTAATGGCCATTATTGAATTAAGTGCATATTATGTGTTATAAAATTGGAAGTGCAATTTTGTACAAGCTTTGTTAATATATTTAGGAATTTATTGAAGTTGGAACAACAAAAACCCATTTTTTATTGATACATGGATAATACAGAACCCTATAGTGTACTTCACAATAAAACATGTTTTTCATAAATTCCTAAATAATAAATCATGTTGTAAGACATTTATTTCTGATATATTCAATTTTTTATACAGATACATATCAGATTACTGTATATAACCATCCAAAATAAATGCCACATCATATAGTAATACTACTGTTAATGTATTAATTAATTATGAAGTTAGTGAGACAGAAAAATAATATTTATTGTATACCCAGACTAGTTTACATAGTATCATGGGACTTTTTAGCAAACCTCATGCAACTCTTATGATCTAGTTTCTTAGTCTAATAAAACTACAAGATAAAATCAGGGATAGTAACTCGGAATTGTTAGTATGAATTACTCAGTGTTAAAAGAAACAAATGTAAGCCGTAGTATATCTAATCTAAAAGAGTTCTATTTGCATGCGCAGTCTCACACCTTTTTCATTTTATTTGAAGATACTGATCCCTTTTGGCTTTGAGGCGATTGGCTTTTGTCAGAGACAGCTGTTGGGGAAGGGGGTTCAGAAATTTGAGTTTCAGATGGGACTAAGGGTAGGGTACCTTCGTCCATTGTGTTTAGAATATGTTTAGGGTTTGACAGGCTTATTGGAGGCATTATTGTCCGACTTTTAGGTTTTCTCCAAACCTAGTAATATAAATAAACAGGTTAAGGAACATGCTTTGGATAGTCTTCATTTTGAGCCAGTCTAGTAAGCTCTTTTTTATCTACTTCAGAAATTATTCAACACAATTTTAGACCTATTTGAAAAACACAACAAATAATATGCGACATCTGCTTTATACGAAAATAAATATTTACTTTATTTTAAACATTTACCCTCCAATTTCAAGACCAAAACCTACTACGTTCTTATTGTGCTGTTTACAATTTTGTCTTCATTTTAAAATGCAGTAGAATTAACAACTGGATAACGTTTATGAAAAAGGAATCATATTCCAAATAGTCACTAGATTGGATTTCTTTTACACAAAATAAATTAGATCCTCCTTCATGGAATGATCAGCTATTTAAGTACACTTGCTTGGTTCCTTTTCAATAAACATTTCCCAACTACATGTAAAAAGACATTAAGTAAACTCCAAATGCATCATTTATATTATTAAAATAGTCAAGTACTTTATTTCAACAACATATCTACTAAGATTGCTGCAGTCAGCACATCACAAGGTCAATTTGAGTTATTTAAGTTAGAAATTTATATATTTTTTATTATTTTATATGTTCATAACGTATTATAATATTAATAGTGGCATATAATTCCAAATACATATTACTTGTTGTGGAAAGAGATGTTATGAGCAATGGATTATTATAAAAAAAAATTATACTAGAAAAATTAGATAATTAAGTTGCTGAAATAAGTTAACCAAAGAACTTTACTAAAATTTATTATACCCAAAATAAAAGTACTTACCTTATCATCATAAAATCCTTGATCATCAGTTCTCTGTTGCCCCAAAAGTCGATCTGTTTCTAAATCTGTGTCGTTTTCCTCTGAAAGAAATAACAATTGTAGCAAATTTGTCAAGGCCACTAAAAACTGTTTTACCTTCTTCTCCTCCACTGTTAACCTTCCTTTCAGAATCACCACTTGCAGTTGACATGCCCCTTTGCCTGAAATGACTGTTATCAATATAAAATCAACCACTTTCTTATATTGCTTAATTTACCTGGGCACCCAAATGGGGCTAGCTGCATTTTCTTCAGAATCTTCTTCGGGATGGCGCTGTAAAGGTAGAGTTTTAGTTCTTTGCAATGTCAAACGAATATCTTTTATAGCTGCTTCAACATCGCTAGATTTTTCTCCCTGCATTAAACGATGTGGGGCTGGAGCTGGAGGTGGAGGTGTTTTCTCTAATAAAAAAAAATAATAAAAATTGTAATTGAAAAATACTACATATTCCAAAATGAGGTATTTACCAAGAGAGTCAGTTTGCGACATTACCATCGGTTCTTCAAAATTATTAACACAACCATTAATATCTACAGGAGAAGCATTATGACATTCACTCTTAGGCGACAAACCATTTTCACTAGGTTTATTACTTGTCTGATTAGGTTTGCAGATGCCTTGATTGATTTCTCTTTCAATTTCAGTTATCTGACGTTTCATCAACATAACTGTTGGATTATTGTTGTCAGTGTCACTAGCATGTCCCGATGATAATCCATCTTCTAAGACAGGCATACTGGAGTATAAACGTAAAGAGTCACTAGGAATAGCAATGTCTGTATTTGATCCTAGAACATTTCAATTTGGAACTGGATTTTGTTTTTGGTAGCGGATTAACATACCTAAGAGACCCCCTGAAGGCCCCATATCATTTTCCATTAACATTAATGATACTTCGCTGTCCAAATCTCCACAATTAGAATCACAATCCGTTGTTTCAGGAGAAAGGGTGAAATTTCTGCTATGGCCTACTTGGAGACCTACTTCAGTTTCTCCTAAATCCCCGCTAGACCCTGTACCAATAGACAGGTCTAAAAAATTGTTCTCGTGCTCTGTAATATCGTGATCCTAAAAAAAACATCCATAAATTGGCAATATTACGCCATTATTTAAAATTTAATTTAATGCTATTTTAGTAATATACCCTTGTCTTACCTGTATATTAGGAATATTAGTGTTATTCAAACATTTTCTAGGAGAATCTATTCTCATGCAAAATTCATTTTCCCCTGGTAGATTTTTCGCTAATCTTTGTCCAACGTATGAATTGCCTGAGTCGCTAGCCTGTCGTCGCAGTTCATATTCTAAATCTTGGAATTCCACTTCTAATCGATTTTCTTCTTCCGGTGGAGGACATTTGAAGAATTCTTCCAACACCTTTCGAGTTTCAGAAAATTCGTATAAGTAGTCAAATGTTGATGAAGTTGTATTTGGTGGAGGTGATGAGGAATTTTTCTAAAAATGAAACCATTTTTTAAATCTTCGAATACCAGTTATACGCTTCACTATATTTTATAGGAACACAGTAATAAACTTTATCACAAACAATGTATGTAAACTGAAGTCTGATAAATGATGTAATGTATATTAATTTATTATAGTTTATTATCATTATGTTGAAAAATGTTCTCATTTTTTTCAATTAATACATTTTATTGTTAAATAAAGGGTAAAGAATTAAAACAAGTTTAATTTAAATTAGTGTAAAACTGATGGTACTTACGTTAAATGAATTATTCTCAATATTTAAGTTGCTGTCATTATCAACAGGACTAGGCGTGCTAACAACTCTTTGTGGAAAACCGGGTCTAGGTGGATAAACACTGGGAGAAGCTAATAAGCTTTGTGCACTAGGAAGCTGAGGGTGAGAGCAATTATTTTCCATATGCCTTTGTCCATAACGTCTAGGTGAACCCTCATAAACAGCTATTGGCAAATTCCCTATAACCTTGGTAACTTTTTCACTATCTGTATCACTGGAATTAAAAATTTTTGTGGCAGTGTGATTTGAGTGTTCGTCTTCAATTCTTTTGGATTCTTCTGTCTGCCAATTTTCTCCAATATCATCAAAGACGACCACTTCTCCAGGAAATGTCATGTTTATGGGACTAGATTTTTCGACAGAGCTTTCTTCGCTTTGTTTTTCGTGAGCCACTGAACATACTTCAGATGAAAATACTGTCTCGGTATAATCTCGGGAATTTCGAAGCTTTTTGGCCTCGCTGCGACCCCGGAGTTCCCATACACCCTGTCTCATTGGGGATTTTTGACCCTTTTTCTCGCCATCTTCGTTTGCCAGTGAATTTCGAGACTTTCTTAGAGCTTTACTTCGGCTTTGAGAATAGATTTCTCTGCCTCCTGCGATTTCTATAATCCTGAATCAGACATGTGAACAATTATTATGGCTGATGAAGAATACACATTTAAATAAATATTGAAAACAAGAATAGTTTTTACAGACAAATAATGAATTTGTATTTACATTTGTTTCTAATACATTCATATTAGAAACAAAAAAATTGAGAGGAATTTATAAATATATTATACAGTTACTAATTACTTGTCCATTCAAAAATGAAAAATAGAAACGAAAACAACCAGTTATATCAAAAAACTTTATTTTTTGTATTAAATATTGAATTTTTAATTTTTTTAAATAAAACTAAAATTCAACAAACAAAAAATTGTTAAGATTTAAAGGCATGTTATTTAAATATGGCAATATGCGTGCAAAACAAATGGTAACTGGTGTTCGCTGAAATGGTGTCATGCAAACCTGAATAAAAATAAAATTTGAATATATACTGGAATCTGGTGTTCAAATGACAATAATGACACAGTCATGCATACATTTTTACAAAAAATAATAAAAACAATCATATGCGAGTGAAAATCCTATGTGTGATGATTTCTTGTTGAAAATACCTAGAATCTCGTAATTTGTAAGTCCCGGACGAATGTTTATGTTCGATAATATCGTCATCATCTGTAGAGTGTAGCTGACTTATATTATCTCTACTAACATTGCAGGAACTATCAGCTATCCATCTAATAAACCAAAGTAATATTACCATCAAAAAATTATATAAATATATTCAAATATTTACAAATACACAGGCTGTACATATTTCAAGCAAAAGTTTACAGCCTAGAATGTTATCTAAGCAAAGCAAAAGTTTTAAAATAGCTTATAATAATTTTTAAAAAAAGAGACAAAAATTGCAGTAATGGGGAATTTCAGTTTTTCTTATTAAATGCGCTCAGATGAGTAAAAAAATCAATAGGCTGTATAATGATACAATGTTTGACCTCAATAGGAATTTTTACATGATCTCATAAGTAGATGTTATTTATAATAATGCTGCATGGTTAGTAAGACATGACTGATACTCAATTCACTTGAAATATATCTGCAAAGACATGTACATACAGGGTGAAGCAATCAAGTATTTACATTTTATAAAATAATGACAATTATTGCAAATAAACTGATTAACACTTTGCACAGCAACAGTAAGCAAAAGTTATAAATATAAATTAAATAGAAAGTCAATAATTAATTTAGATAAAACTATTTGGGAATTAACTTTTAAATTATAACACATGTAAACATTTTATTAACTGGTATTTACAGCTATATGAAATAATTTTTTGTTTAATTTTTATAACTCGGTAAATACTCCTTTGTCAAAAATTGTATAATAATTAAACAGTATGAATTGCAAAAGAAAACACATGAAATGAAAAAACGTTTGTTTTTTGTTCACATAAAAGAATACGTTCTATATATAAAATAGAAAAATTGTATTTTATATTAGAAATATACAATCATACAACGATAATATGCATGGATCACCCCATATGTAGAATTTTTCAAATGAAGGCACTTATATTTAAATAATGAATATGTTATTTAAAAAAGTTACCTATCATTTTCACTGTCGATATTCATGACAGTATTTGTTGTATTATCAACACATTCATGGTCTCTCCCCGAGGCAATAATAGGATTTAAATTAATGTCGCTTCTTGGTCTGCACTTGGGAAAAAGTTTACTTATTTGCTCTGTATTTTCACTAACATCGATATTATCTAATGCCAAAGTCAAACTGGTCATTTCTATATATAATTTATAAATATAACTTCCATAATAAACTTCTTGTGAAACCTACGACAATTTTATTTGTTATTTAGACGTATTTTATGAAAAAGGTTATATTGGAAGTGTGAATACTTGTAGAATACTAATAGGCATATGAATCATCACACTGAAGTGTTGAATTAGTTCCTTTTAACAAAACACTTAGAAAAAGAATTACCTTACCGAATCAGAATAGTGAGAGCACTACTTAATGAAATAAATTACTGGAGGCGAAATTGAATAGCTAATTATAATCACTCACACTGTATAACAATTATTATATTCTATAACAAGAATCAATAGTCAGAAAACACCAGGAACCATTTTTATAAAGAAAACTATAAGTATTAATGTGAAGTCTTAAAAACGAATCATACACCAATTATGTTAAAGTGTTAATTAGTAACTAATATTTACATGCCGTCACTTCTTGCTGTGGTTAATATCAAAAACACAATTTTCTAACAACCGCCAGACAATCGTTTCGGCCCAAAATCAATATTTAAAGAGGCGGCGCACACACTATCACAGTTCGCCAACCTTTTCCCAAATTCTTAGAAATCTCAATTGATTGTGACAACTAATATTTTTCTAAATGCATAGTCACTGAACTTTTTAAGCGCACTCTAATTTATAATTTCCTAATTTTGAACGAAATACGACGCCATGCGCCGATTTTCGCGACGTCGCATTATGTTTAGTCAATGGCAAAATATTGAACGCATGTGTAGTTTATATTAAATCAGGTGATGTTGCCACAATTTTATAGAAGCAAGCCGAACAGACTTCGTTATAAAAAAAATCAGTACATCTTTAATCAAACCTGTTATTAATAACTTCTTATAAATAAACATCATGTTAATTTATACCTATATTAGGAATATGGATAAAAATTTGTATATTCATCATACGACAGTGGTGATCTCAGTATTGCACGCCACTGTTTGACAGTTAGGTTATAAATTAAAAGTGATCTAAAATTACCTTATATTTTAAAGAAGTTTTTAACTACTTATTCTGTTTGTTAACTCGATATTTAACATTTACGGATATTTATTTCAATTGTTTACAGAGTAAATGTCATCAAGGAAGTGACAGACAGATATCAACCGTTGAGTAATCCTACCAACTGCTGAATTTACTGAATTTAGTAAAACAATTTGTCACTAAAATTTAAAAGTTACCTACAGATAGGTATTTAGCATGTAAATGATATTTTAATATTAAAATTTTGCAATAGAAACAAAAAAAACTATATATAAATAATTTATTGAACTATGTACATAACAAAACGTTAATATATTAACTACTTGAAGAGGAATGTGTAGCTTTAGACATCATGTGTTCCACACGATTTGCAGTTTCTCGAACTACATCAGAAAGTTCTGGTAACTCGGGAAGATCTAAAGTAATATGAGCAGAAAGACGTTTATAGACAGAGTTTGTATCTGATTTTTTCTTCCTAGATTCTTCATATTTGAGCTGTTGTTTAAGAAAAATTGCATTTTTCAAATTGTCTTGAATATTTTTGAAACTATCTTCAGCCTTTCCCATTGCTTTCAGTGCTCTACAAACGTTAAAACACAAATAATATAATAATTATATTATATCAATACATACCCTACAGCATACTCTATATCGTAACACCGTCCTTGAAGTTCAGTATGTAATTTATTTACATCAACTCTTCTGTCCACCATTGGATTTAAAGCTTTTCGTACATGTTCTTGAAGCCTATAAAAAGCTAAAGACGGTTCATTTGCTACTATATGCATATTTTCTGATATTCTTTCTGTTGCTACAAGAAATGTATATTCAGTTATTGATTTTGATACTTTGAGAAACTTACATTTACGCACTTTCACTTCTAAGTCTGAATCTGAATTAAACGACATTTTTTAAATAAATGTATCAAATAATTACACCATAGTTGGAAATAAATCTTTATTTAAAGATTTGAATGTTTACATTCATTCATTTTGATAACTGCAGGTACAATTTTTGACAACTATACTAGTAACTAGTAACGTAGCGAGATATAACCATTCAAGAATACATACGTATTATTCTGGGATATGATCAAACTGACGTTTATGTAACTGTAGGGAAATTTGGGTGAGATATATAGAACACAAAACACAATGAAAATAATTGTGTAATTCACAGACAGATCTGTCTTTATGTATGGTATAGTTTTTATTTTAGATTTTTAGTTAACTAATCGGATTATAACCAACTCTAACCGAGAATTATTAAGGATTTTTTGGCGAGAAAACCGCTAACCCGGTTAACTATAGTTTGTTGAGGTTTGACGTTTTGGCGAGAAATGTAGTTAACCCGGTTTGGCAGAGTTTGCCTATCCATCAAACCGGACTTGTGGGTTGGTTTGGATATTAAGTTAATATTTCTATCTTTGTTTATTTATTTTCTGTTTCGTACCATCGTACCTAGTCACTACTTCGTTTTTTTAGAGGTTTGGATAGGTATAAGTTTTAGAGGTTTGGATAGGTATAAGTAATCGAGGATCCAAATAACTTTAATCGTAGATATGCATTTTCTATATTGTACTGTATAGATCTTTATTAACTTCCTTTTAGACGATACATTTACATTGAAATAGATAATATTTGTGAACAAGGTAAACCCATTTTGATATAATAACCATCTATACATTAACGTTATTTCATGGATGTGCATTTCAGATTAAGAATAACAACTATAGTATATAATTGCTAACCGGGTTTGATGTGGTTTGGCTCGCCAAAAAACCCTTATTATTATGCTGGCCCTTAGAACATAGAAGAGAACTACTACTACATTTTATAACGTTGTTAACCCTGTAGGTATTGACTGCTTCTTGTTTGAAAAGAGTGGGATTTGTTGATTATTTGTGATTGTGAATTTTATGATGGCTTTATACAAAATGTTTTAATAAAAATATATTAATGATATTATCGTTCAGACCACTTAAAACAATGGACAGCTGTATTAATAAAAATGTAGGATGTACTATTTTAAAATTTGAAAAGGCAAAGAAAATCATCAGAAAATTTTAACCCCAAAATGTAAACAAAACAGAAGGTAAATCCAAAAACATCCCCATAAATAATCCTGATCAGTAGAAAAATATTTTAATAAAATTAATTAAAAGTGCTGCTTAGGCCGTTCAAACTAGTATTTAATGGAAAGGAATGGATAATTGTATTGAGGAGATTGATATTCCTAGTAGTAGCTGCAATTCTGAAGAGAGTGGAAGAGGATGTAGAACTAAAAAGAAGCAAAACGACCCCTCATGCTGTCCAGTTTGTAGTGTAACTTTAAGACAGACAGAAATAGATTCTCATCTCAACTCAGAAATTGAGAAACTGAACAAGCTGCCATCATCAAAACACAAGATTAAAAACAACCCATCTAGTTCAACTAACGGTTCATCTTCAAGTGACAATAATACGGATAAAAACTGGGAAACCTTTCAAAAAGTTCGACTAAACAGGCAGAGCAGACAAAAGACTAAAACTAGAAAACGACGAGCTGAAGAAATTTGTCCAATCTGTAACAAAGAAGTAACCGAAGACATAACCCTACACGTGGAGTTGTGTTTGCGAAGATCTGAATCAAATGGTAGTGAAAGCGACGAAAATATTGATGTAGAAGCTTATGAAGAATATGAATGGGCAGGTCAGTCTCGTGTAAGAGCGACGAGTTTGCTGCAAGGAGGTATTTCTAGCCTTGGTACAACTATCAGCATGGCAGATGACGATGAGGACTTAAATGTTGACGGTGATGATACTCAGATGTATGGTTCGCCACAATATTCAGAAACTGATGTGATACTTCCTTGTGGTGACCCTGAAAATGTGGCACTTCGAAAAGCTGTTACTGGTACTGACCCAAAACGTTTGTGCTCTGACAAGAGTCGTTTAAGTGATTTAGAGTCGGTAGAAACTAAAGGAGATCCTATATTAGAGGTTCTGAAAAATAGAATAAAAGAACTGGAAAGTAGGGAGCAAAATAGAGAAGAGGTGTATAAGTGTTTAATTTGTATGGAACGATATCGTACTCCGGTTATATCTGTTTGTTGTTGGCACGTTCATTGTGAGGAATGTTGGTTGCAGACTTTGGGTGCCAAGAAATTGTGTCCGCAGTGTAATATGATTACTTCACCTGCTGATCTTAGACGAATTTACATGTGAAAAAGATTAATATATTTTTTAAATTAAGTTGAATAGGTACTATTTATTTTTTAAAACATTATGAAGTCCATTGTTATTTTTTTTATTAATGGGAAAGTTCAATAAATATATTTAGATAATTTTGTATACCTATACATTTTTTAAAACCTTTATTATGAATTTAAAAAATATTTAATTGAAATAAATGAATATATTTAACAACTCAACTGATATTTTATTAGAATTGTCAAATTTTGTCGTACATAAAAATCTTCTAGTTTTTCAAATATGACCCGAAAAGAAACAAATATTACTTAATAACTTATATTTTTAAAGATAAATATATAAATAAATAATGTAGAGTTATGGTTAATTGTATTATATAAAATTGAAGGAAGATGTTCTTTTTAAACAAAAACACAAAATACTTAATACTATTAATAAATAAATAAATATGATTTAATATAACAAACTTAAATAAGAACAAACAAATGAACACAACATTAATAATCACTTTTCTTTAGAGAAAAGGATTATTATCATTTATTACGAATATTTACCGTCACTTGTTATTTTAGCGAAATATATCTGAAAACTTTTATTAGCTAGCAGGATATATACTTAAGAATATGCAGACATTCATGCATTAGTTTGGAAATTCTGTACACTAAATATGTCCAATTTCCCACTGATCTGCAATATTCTTTTATGCATAATGCTAATAAATTAGAATAATTAAAAAAAAATTGTGATTTTACTGAAATACTATTTGTTTTACGTAAAATAAGAGATATATTTACTAAATATAAGTGACAAAAAAAAATCACAAAAATTTTTTTACGTGATTCATATACGAGTATATGACCACATAAAAATAATTACACAATGAACCAAAATAAGTTCAAATACCCTACAAATTCCATTATCATTTAATAAAACATGTGCACTTGTCTTACTTACTTAATGAAATGGGATATGATAAAGTATAATGAAATTATTTTTGTTGTGGTCGGTTTATTTAATGTCCAACTTCGATTTGCTCCCGCAAGCAGGACTTTAAAGCACTCAAAAATATCTTTCTTCCATAATCAGAAAATACCTTGTAAGGATCCTTTTTGGCAACTCTGGTAAATCTGTCACTAAAAAAAATATATTGAAATTCTAGGAAACATATTTAAATGTTATACTCACTAATCCCTACGGAAACTTTCCTCCTCATTTAAGAAAATTATATTCATGTCAATAACGTTACATTTCAGTTCATCATCTAGAAAAGATGTATTACATTGGATAAACATTTTATAAAAAATATTTACACACCACAAGCATAATCTAGAATAGCCTTATTAAAGATATCCATTCTTATCTGAAGTCTTTTCACTTTAGGTAGTTTAGGAGATGGTATCAAAGTAACAAGTGTAACTCTTGTATTTTTTTTCTTCAAATCAATGATGAGTTGCCTCAAGTCGTAAATCATATTATTTACATTGTGGCCCTAAATAAAAATGTTATATATAGTTTTTACTATTTTAATAAGATATCACTTAGCTTACAAGTAATAAATCTTGAAATCCTATCATAACAACTACTCTAGGGGCCAAATATATTGCATTCTGAACCTTATGTGTAAGGTCTGAAATGGTCTGTCCTACAGCACACAATCCACATTCTTTAGGACCTAAGAAAAGTTACAAAATTAATGTACATATTTTTGATGTATTAAATCTGTTTTACCTTTTTCTGGAACATAATATCCAAGCTTAGTGTCAGCAATATCTATGAAAAAATCATCTCCAAGCGCTTGATGTTTGTACAACAAGGGAAGCATACATTCCTGCAAAACAAAAAATTATCTTTTATAAAAAAAAGAATATGTACAACTTACAAGCTGCTCAAATTTATTAAATCTAGTTGATTCGTTGATAGAATTATTATTAATTGACGTGTGAATAAATGATCCCTGAGGAAAATTGGAATGAAATCTTTTTGGCCTTTTAGCATTTTTGTGATAAGAACCAGCTTCATAATTTTTTCTTTTCGTTTGTTGCTTCGGATTTGATTTCTGTTTCAAAATTAGTTGCCTGATATGTGTGGATTTTGGACTCTGCTGTATAAGGACTTCGTTATTTTGGCTATCCAAGACTATGTAAATATTTGGTAAAGTTAATATCCAAGATCGTAAACTTTCAGCGCCAAATTTTGTGTATGGAATGACGAACCCACAGTAGTTTTGAAACTCCTCATTAACTCTGTCTAGTGGTAAGCCATCGTTACCATAAAGGCAGATTATAGAAATAAGGATTTTCATTATTTCTTTCTCTTTATTAACTAAATCTTGGTCCCCTCCTACAACCATCTCGAAATTTGAGAACCACCAGACTCTGATATAAACGGATATCAACTGAAATATTTTCTAACAAATCTAAGTGAAGGTCAAATAAGAATGAAACACAACTTCTTTTTACATCTATATTTAAATAAAAAGTATAAGGTATACAATGGAAAAAAAAAACTTGTTTTTTTTTTGTATGTTAGTATTCGATATATGTTCCTAGGTTCAATCCTCCTAAATTTAAAAATTTGTTTGTGTATATAAATATTCTTATATGTAGAAAATTAATTTGTATTCAAAATATATTTGGGTTTAATCGTTTACTTAAGAAAATTGAATATATATACATATCGATTTTTTAAATGTTTTATGTATATAGATATTAATATTTGTAATTTTAATGCATATAAATGTAACTAGTGAATTATAAAGAATATAATTAGCAAAAATGTTTAATCATAGGGAAACATAAGAGTTTTAAATTAAAATCAAGCTCTAAACAAAAAACATACAATACACAATTTATAACAATGTTCCTTTTTAACTACTTTGAAGTACTCCTGTAAGGCACATATGAAAATAAAAGAATAAACTCATTCATTATTGATTGCATGATTGCTTTTGAATTTTGGCTTTTAGATAGTATTTTACACCAGCCTTTTATTATGTTATACTATATTCTATGTTATTCAATTTTAAATTCAATAGCATCGAAATCCTAACACGTGCCGTTTTCTTTTATTCCTCGTTTTAATGCCATGAATTGCATCGATGTATTACTATTGGTCCGTTTAAAAAATTCCAACCTCTTATTGGCTCTACGGAATCCATCACATCGAAATGTATAAAAGAACACGGCCTGACACAAATATTGCACGTTATACGAACGAACATAAATAAGTAGAAAGGAAAGCGTTATGACTTATGTTAGTTGAGATTTGAGTTCTTTCATTCAAATGTGAAAGTAAAATTGTGGTTAGGTTCCTTTTTCAATATTTTTTAAAATAATTAATAGATATGGAAAATAAGGACAAGGAAAAGAAGAAAGGTAAAGTCGATGTACTTTTATGTATACTTTCGGACATAATTTGCTGTTTCAGTTGACCCTGGCTGGAATGATCCACCAATGTTGAACTATAGCCCATCAAATCCACCACCTAAAAGTCGAATAACAAATAAGAGGGTTCCATTTCCTCTCACTACATGCAGTCCCGGTACTAGTTCTTCAAACACTTTGCCTCTCGGTTCAACACCTCCTAAAGCTTTCATCGTGTCACCTCCAATGCCAATACCACAAAACCAAGAAGTTTCGGAGGAGCTATTTAAAAATGCTAAAGACAATTTTGGAAAGTTTATTTTGACTCAAAAGAGTCAGAAAACTAAAGAGTGTATACATTTGCTCTATAAGTTGTGGGAAGAGGGAAAGTTTTCAAATGATTGCCAGAAAAATATATATTTAATGTCTCAGTATTTAGCTGAAAATGATGATGCTAGTGCTAAAATTATAAAGGACCGACTTTTAACTGAATTTAAAGACTCATGTGAAGACTGGCTAGTTAATTTTGTGATATAAAAGTTTTATATTTTTATACATGTACTGCATAAAATTAGTTATAGAGTAAGTAAATATTTAGTTTATTTTTGTTATGTATCGTTACAATTTCTAGTATTTATTAAAAAAATTTGTTGTATCTATGTAGTGCTAGCACTTCGTTAGTTTTTTTTGTTTTTGGTGTAAATTTTTATAATTCCCTAATGACAAAAAATTCACTGTCCGACAATTTGAGTTTGATACTTCCTAAAAATGTGTGTAATCATTACTATATAGAAATGTGGATCCTAGAATAAATAAAAAAATATGTTCAGGTAATGCTTTAATGTGCGATACAATTTGTTTTTTCTTACATGTATAAATTGGTTTTGTGCCCTTTGTTCTAATAATTATTTAATAAAAAAGCTATTAGCCTAAGGATGCTTGTAATTAATTTTTCTAATCCTACAGTTAACGGTTGTTACACTATTGCATGCAAATACATAACAAAAGTTGTGTCAAAAACTGCAATTATTTTTATCTCCAATGTACAGGCTGTATAATTACATGTACAGGTTGATATTAACAGCATGAATTTCAATTAAATTCCTTAAAAAAAAATACATCTTAAAAATTTATCTTGACGGAATTAAAAAAAAATGTTAACGATTTAATATTCCATATAAACATTTATTCTAAGGCAATGACGAATAATTCCTCTTAATATTAATGTTTCGCAATTACTTTTCAGTATTCTGGTATCATTTTTCTATAAAATTTTAAAAGATTTTCTTAAACTTATCCAATTCAAATATACATTTAGAGTATAGCAAAAAATTATTGCAAGATTATGATTTTATTTTAATACAAACTTTACACAAGATGTCTAAAAACACTGATAAAAATGGTTAATTAATTAAAAGATCTTTTTTCTAACTGGCCAACTAAAAATAAAGTACGTCGTATTTATCTTGAACACCTAGCCTTTCAAACATCCTGTGTTTCAAAAATAAGATGTGGATATGATATGTAGTGACAAACATTTACGATAAATAAGTTAAATATAAAATAAAATAAAATTATATATTTATTAACAATGTCAATAATATCACATAGTATTTAGAATTTCATTCTCTTAGAAAGGTGCACTTGTGTAAACAAATGTTTATATTATAATATTGTGCACTTTGGCGTGCTATTCTCTACACAATTACAAAGCATAAGAAAGTTAGCTTTACTTATTTTCTAGTGTTGTCAGAAATTTTGAAAAATATATAAAATTTGTGATAATTTTGTTTCTATTTTAGTGTTTCTTACTGTCGATGGAGAACCTGATAATTGACCTGATATTTAAGATTATTAAATTGTTTTAACAAATGAACATACTGAGAAAGATGAAAACATTTTTGTACAGATCAAATAAATCTGATAGATCCGCTTTTTAAAAAACGGTATTGCTAACTTTCTTTTGCAAAAAAACAGTTCGTAAAATATATCACACAATAACACTATGCCTATTAGATTTCTGATCTGGTGCATATTGCTCCAAATCCTCAGGTTGTGCATTGAGAGCAGAGTAATCCACGGGGAACATTATTGATGACAAACTATTTGGGGGGGCACCCAAGATATATTGCCCTGGTCCATTAGGATATCTACCCAGTAAATAGTTAGCAAAACATAAACGGTATGATCTGAAGTGGAGTGAATGGTCACCATTCTAAAATTAATGGCAGTTTAATGAGGTCAGTACAAGATTCTTTGAAAACTTACTGAAGTCATGGCTTGATATGCATGGTCCAATATTTCGCCCACTTTTACTGCGTCCAAACCCAAGACTGATGAATAAAATGCACTCAATTCATCTCTTGTGATTATACCAGTACCTATTAAATAAAAATGATAATTTTTTTAATAGGTAAGTATACTTAAATCTGATTCATTAATGTGATTTGATTTAAAGCACAATGGTTTTCAGGTTGTGTTGTGACCTATGTACTTGGTCACCGCCACTTACATACTTATATTGCACTTCCTTAGCTTCGGCTAGGAATCTTTAACCTGCCCTTGTTGTTTTCGGACTACGCTCAATGGGAGCGGATCTTCTATCATACCCTACGTTGGTTTCAGATCTTGCTGCCGGTTCTAAGGCCTCTAGAAACAGAACCACTTCTCAGACAATTCTGTAACTAGTTGCATCCAATGCATTCAAACGATTAACCATTTTTCACTGTCAGCGTCTTCAGTGTGAACTCTGTAAAAGCTTTGCAAAACTGAGTTCCATAATTTAAGGAAGTGCAATCCAAGTCTGTAACTGACAGAAGCCAGGTACATAGGCCATGGCATAACAGACTGAAAGACAATGATAATTTATATTATCATTGTAGACCTTGAAAGCCCTAAAACCGTGACGAGATTCTTTCTTTACGTCCTTTGAAAAAAATAATAATATGTATTCTATAGATATGAAATTTTTTTAAGGTGTGCCAATTAATTCTTATTTTTTGTGTTATTGTAGTTAACATCTAGTTTTCCAGTTTTCCATTTTGACATTGAGAAAATATTTTTTTAAATATTTTTCACTACACTAAAAAAACTTACCACTTCTGTTTATAACTTGAAACAATACTTTGACAAAAAACTGTAGCCAAACAGGAAAGTCTCCCAAATTTTTTGAGCCTTCTATAAGTTCAGACCATTTATGAAGCCACCCTTCTTTTGTTATGTAAGTTATGTCATTCACTGTAAACCCTATAAAAGATAATTAAAAATAATAAAAAAATAATAATACGAAAATATTTTTATACTGTACCTAATCTTTCATTTGATATGCCTGCTAAAAAGGTTTGTATGAAACCTCTTTCTATTTCTCTAAGTATATTAAATTCAGGAGAATTAATAGACCAGTCAGCAAAATGTCGCAGTCTCTTTTTATCCAACAAGCAAGCATGAAATTTTTTTACTAATTAATAAAATTGTGTTTTTCAAAAATATTTTGGAAATTAAATAACGTTTCCAGATAGAAATATATAAGTTCAAACTATTTCTTACCTCAATTAATGTCTCAAAATCTTGTTCACTGATTAAATTATCTTGATCATGGTCTAGCAAAGCAGTAAAAAAATGAGAAAATTTGTTATTTTGTGTTGGAGTCAACTGGTAACTATTTTTCTCATCTACATCTTCAGAATCTACACTGAATCTATCTACCCAGGTTGCTAAAATACATAAAACAAATTTACTTTTGAAAAATTGAAATACTATGTTTACATACTCCAAATATGTACACTCCAACCACTACTATCATGATGGCTTTCAGATTTATCCAGGCTGTCTGTTTTTTTGACAATGTTCTCGGCCTCAATTTCAGGTAGTGTACGCCAACGTTTCAATAAATCCTTTGTTTTATCTTTCGTTCTGTCACATGCTGATCTCCAATTTGCTATTATTTTATGAGGCACTTTTAAAGAAACATCGCTATGCACTTTCTGATTGTCAAACTCTTGAGTTAGTTCAGTTTTGAACTGTATTGAATTTTTCTCCTGTTTAAAGCTTCCGCTTGTGCTGGATTTATCCAAGCTTTTTGTACTCTTTAAGCTAGTCTGTGAAGTACCCAAGTCTTTGATGCTATTGTCTCTGCTTGATTTACTTAATTCGTCAACTGAACTTGTTTCCATTATCTTATTTTAAATACCATTGAAAACATGAGTAGCATATTACAGGTTAGTTTTTAGTTTCCAAAATAAGTACGTCATAAATTATATTCCACTTAATTTCACGAATAATAGCAAATAACATATTTTTAAATTAAAACATAATAACCCCTTAAAGATACATGTTTCTACAACTTCCGTTTAACATAAATAAAGTTAAATAAAATTGATTTTAGGTTACTTCGATTCGATTATATTAAGTCGTTTTCGATTTACCTTATTTAAGTGGGATATGAGGAAGCATAAAAATAAATTACATTTTTTTATATTAGTTTGCTTTGCAAATAACTTTGAAAGAAAACTAAAATTTTTCTAGGATTGTGTACATAACTACTCATTATCTCATTAAAATCGAAAACTGTCTGGTGCTGATCCTTCGATCCTTGTTTCATTATTTTTTATTGGCAAGTGGCAACACTGAAATACTAAACTGGTTATTTCTTTTACAATTCAAAGTTATTTTTTACGAAGAAGCTGCTCCTGTAGGTATGATTTTCAAGCAATTTATTTTTTAGAGATAATTTTATGACGTTATATAGAAACATGCAAATGTTCCAAAACAGACGAAAAAAAACAGTAAGGATAAAGGCCGTATTTCACTGAGCCTGAGCCACTTGGCCCAGCCAGTCTGGTGCAGCCTGGCGGATCCAGCCAAGTTTGAACCAATAAGTAACCTAGCACTGGACAAAATAATATCACACTATTGATTGGTATCTAAGACTGTATAGTCAACGTGGACAGTCCCGTGATACTAATAGACAAAGATCTATTAGTGTACGTAAGTACCTCCACCGCTGGACCCGCTTTAAAATGTAAGTTAGTATAAACCAGGCTTGTGCTGCCTGACCGAGGGGGGAACCACCTCATGTACTAGCCAGGATGAGTGTATACTCATTTGTTGCACTGCGTTTCAAACTTGGCTACCTACAATCGCGCTTGAAAATAACAGCCCTGTATACCAGCCTAGTATGAGTATGATGAGTGTATAATCATTAATCATTTGTTGCACTACGTTTTGAACCCGCCAGGCTGCACCAGCCTGGCTGGGCCAGCCTCAGTGAAATTCGGCCTTAACTATTGTGAATAGGCGAAGCTCTGAGAACATACTTTTACACGTTTTATGACATTATATAACAGATTATATATATATTCGAGGATTACGTAAATTCAATTTATGTATCAGAATCAGTTAATTTTTGTAAACCCCCTATTAATGTAATGCCGATGCGTCGTAAAAAAATGACTCGAATTAATAGCACAGCAAATAAAACAATTATCACTACTAATGATAAAATTAGAGTAGTAAATTCAGCAAACTTTATTTTTACCGATTTTTTTCGCAGTTTTGACGTAATGAATCATAACCAGAGAACAGAGAATATACGTGTCGCATTGTAATTGGAAACCGAATACTGTTGTTATATCAAAAATTCAAATTGGCATTGCCTTAGATTAGGTTAATCACCTCATTAAGAAGTTGCTTACTTAAAGGAGATAAGAAAATAAATTGGTAACAATTATATCGTATAACTGATAGACGGTGTAGGGTGACCGATCTTGATTTTTTGCAATATCATTATGTTATTTTATGATTATAATGTAGTTTCACAAACTCACGACAGCAAACGAATTCTAGTCACTTGAGACGGTGGTGATTAAGTAAATATTAGTGTACATGTCTAAAATTCGTGTTTCTTATATAACGCAATATTTAAGTGACCATAATTGTTATAACACATTAATATTATTAAAATGAACCCCAAAGCAGTCCAAGCAATAATTTTTACTCTTCTGGGTTGTATGCTAAATAATATATTTCTTGAATACATTATAAAGTAAGTAACGTTTTCTTAGGTAATTTATTTGATTATTATTATTTCCTTTTTATAGGTTAGATCCTGGCGCAGGACATTTAATAACATTTTGTCAGTTTTTATTCATAGCAACCCATGGCTTAATTTTTACTTCTAAATTTGGAACTGTTAAACCAAAGATTGACTTTCAAGATTATTTGAAATTAAATCTTTTCTTTTTCACAACAAGCGTTGTAAATAATTGGGCATTTGCGTTCAACATTCCTGTACCATTACATATGATATTTAGAGCAGTAAGTTTGGATTTATTTCATATTGAAAATAATCTCACTTTTCAATCTTTAAGGGATCTCTTATAGCCAATATGATTTTGGGTATTGTGATTGTAAAAAGAAAATATACTCTGGAGAAATATATATCGGTGTTACTTATAACACTTGGAATTATAATTTGTACATTATATTCCAGTAACACACAGGCCCAAGTTGTAAGTGATATTTAAGTATATATTTTTTTCCGGTGATACTTTATTTTTATTTTAGGCATGTTCTGATTGTGAGGGTGATTACCAAAATGTAAAAAGTGAAGTGTCACCTGATCACTTTTTCTGGTGGGTTATAGGTATTATTTTATTAACAGGAGCATTATTAATGTCTGCTGGTATGGGCATATTCCAAGAACAACTTTACAAGAAACATGGAAAACATCCTCAAGAAGCTTTATATTACACTGTAAGATATATTTCTTATGTTTTGCAGAAAACAATAAAGCATAATTTTTTTTGCAGCATTTATATCCATTGCCTGGATTTCTTCTATACTCTAGTAGTTTGATAGAACATGCATCAATAGCAACAAATAGTGAACCATTTACAGTGCCAGTTCTTAATGTAGGAATTCCTTTAATATGGGGATTTTTATTACTAAATGTGATTACTCAATATATGTGCATCAGCAACGTTTATATTTTAACAACGGAATGCCAATCACTTACAGTAACATTAGTAATCACTCTGAGAAAATTCTTCTCGTTACTGTTTTCTATTATTTATTTCCAAAATCCATTTACATTCGCCCACTGGATTGGAACTATCATGGTCTTTACAGGAACTTTAATGTTTTCAGAAACACATCACAAAATTAGGATGATGCTCACTTCCAGCAAGGAAACTAAAGTGGACACTGACAAGAAGAAAAAATAATTAGGAAAATGTTTTAGCATAAAGAAGTTTATCCTTGATGATAATTTATGTATACAATTTTGCTTTATATTAATTTAATTTATGTTTTAATTTGCTCCAAAGTGATAAGCACCATAAGCATTTAAGAATATCTTTATATTAATTGTATCAGTCAGGTTAGTTAAATAAGACTACATTTTGTTAAATATAGAACAGCAAATCAAACCATAAGGTTAGTCTATATTCCAATTAGATAGCAAATGCACCAGATGTGTACCATGTGTGCCAAATATTTTCATTTTACCATGTAAAAAGTTTTTTATTGAGTGATATATTCCATTATATATACATAGTGTATACAAATTATAAACTTTAAACATGTTTTAATATAGTCGTTTTTGATAATTTCACTTATATTTTTAAAATTCAGAGAAATTTTTTATTTTTGTAGAAATTTAAAAATGAATCATGCAATAAATGTTTCCTGTTATAATTATTTTTTACATGGTCAAAATAAATCCTAGAGGTGCCCTTCAAATGTGATTTTGTATTACTTTTACAAGTGCAAAAATACACAAGATATAATCAGATTGTCAATTTAAAATACAATTTTCGAATACAACTTTTTTATTTACTTAAACATTATAAATTATCAATGTAACATTAACACACACTAATTGATAATAATCCACAAAACAAATTAGAGATCACAGTAACAAAATGTCTTAAAACTAAAATGGTAAGGAATGACTAGAATGTGTAACTAAATATTAAGTAAATACATCTTTAATATTTTGAAATTGTCTAATTGCGAGATCGACAGGCAGCTCAAATTTATACCCTGATAAGGTGTCGAGACTTTTTAGACTGTCTTGGAAACCTAGAGAAGAAACATTTATTATTATTTTTAAACACAAACTTCAATTTTTCACACTTTCTGGCAAGTTTAATTTCTGAGTTAATCACTTGGGACTTGAATTGTTATTGCAATTTTTTTTACTCACCTGTCTTTGCAACATAGCTCCAAGGTTGGTAATGCATCTTCATCAACTGATTGCAAGTGAAAATTAGATTTAACCAGGGAACAAGTTTATTAGCACTAAAATCAATTAGAATTAACAAAACTATGGATTTTTAATCAATAGAATCTTACTTCAAAGCGGCACAAATAAATGCTTTGAAATGAGAATCAAAACTTCTTTTATATGGGGTATGTGTGGAAATAATATTGCCAATACAACAAAGCATATTGTGTTTGTTTGAGGAAGGAGCAGCTCCAGCTATGTCCAAATTAAAACTTTGAGACAACTTTCTTGCTGGGGTCGAATTGTATTTCTCACCATTTTTCATGTGATAATACTCTAGAATAATCTCCCAGGCATGTATTTGAGTATTAATAAGAGAGCTTCTTCTAGGAAAACACCCGATAAACGGAACGAGACTAGAACTTTGTGTTGAAGTTGCACCATGTTGGATAAGATCTCTTATACACATTGCTAAATATTTTCGCACAGCTGTAGTGAGTTGGACATTGCACATAATTGTTTGAGATTCTGAGTCACTGCTGTAGTCACCTTGAGTACCCTTATCTTCGCTTTGTTCTGCCAGTTCTCTTACCCTAGCCACTGCCATTTCGAGTTTTGCCCGTAAATCACTGCAAAAAGTGGTTTACAACATGCTAATGACTAACATTAATTTCTTACCCCCAATGATTTACTTTCATGGTTTTTTTCAAATCGTTTTTTCTAAAATGATTTGAGCCACAACCCAACTGTAATACGGCAAACATTTGTAAAATAGTAGCAGTTTTTTGTATTAAACCCAATGTAGTTTCACTCTTATAAGGTTGTTTAAGAGCATGATAAGAACAACCACATGAGCATTTTATATGCTTTGTATCGGCTTGTAAGTAACTTATGAATCTTTCCAAGTCAGCAACCTGTGTTTTCAATTGTGCGACAAGATGTTCTTTAACGCGAAGTGGACTCACTAGTTGATCAAGAGCTACACTTATTTGTTTGCTGACATCGGCTTGAGTCATCTACAAAAGCATATAATACACTTTTTTCAATAACATAAACAAGTATAGTTACCTGATGATAATTTTGCTCATCAAGCTCTAAATTCATTTTTGTCTTGAGCTCATTTAAAATAACACGCTGCCGTTCCAATAAGACATCCTGGGGAACTCCTGCTTCTCCGTTTTCAAAGGCATACTGTTCCAGCTCTCTCAGTTGAGATTTCAGTCTACTGATCAGTTCTTTTTGTTGTGTACGCCTTAACCGAACAGCTTCTGCTAAGCTAGCTTCATCCATACGTTCTTTTACTAGCCCTACATCTGGAATTCCTCTGAAAGCAAATTCTTCAAGAGACTTTAAAAGTTCCTCTTTATCTTCTGTAGGAGCAATAACTACTTGGCGTAACCGAAATTGTACCTAAATCGTTAGGTTAGTAATCAGTAGAACAGTTTTGGTGACAATTTTTTTTTTACCTGTGCAAAATGGGTAGTCAAGGCAAATAATGAAGAATTTAGAAGTTCTTGTTCTTCCTCTAGACTTCGTATTTTTTCCAAAGAATATCTATAATATTACTAATGAGAATCGATTTTTGAATGATAAAATTACCTACTGATGCTGGTCACAATCGAAACTTAGTTTGTCTAAGTCAAGATCACTCTCTTCGTCATTTGGAGCACCTAGAGGATCCCAACGTTCGCCGGTGGGTCGTTCTTCAAGAGAAAAATCTGGTGTACCTGGATCCATGTTTACATATAACAACACCGTTCTGCTACCGTATGGTTGACAAAAATGTACTACAGTATAGTTAACATTATACTGATATTCTTAAAATATTTACATTGAAATGAGATTCAAATATGCACACTGATAGCAACGAATATTTCATGATAACATAAATACGTTGCCTCAACACAAGGTATAAATTTAGATTGGCAATGACAGTATTGACAATAAGAAATGACAACTTAAAAATAATCATAACAATCTTCTTCTTCTTCTTCCGTTAATGGTTAAAGTCGTCAGCCGTCTCGATTTTAAATTTTTGCGTGTATTACTTTTTTTATAATATCCTCTGTTGTTTATCCGAATCAAAAGGTTTGTATTATATAACAATGATCTTAGAATATGCTGTTACATGTTCTCCTTTTACAGCAAAATTAAAAAATATGATATCATAGAGCTAAAACTACAAAACATATAATACTGTTCCGTTTCAAACAGAGTCATTCAGATTCAGAAATCAGAACTAGTTCAACTCAAGAAGAATCAGATAACTGGAAAGCGACCACGTTAGTGATTAAAAATTGTCAAAAAAAATTTGTTATTGGTGGTGTACGAGTCATTAATGAAAACATAGAAAAATACTTATTTGAATGCTAAAAATAACAAATGGGACTATATAGGTAAATTAATGTTAGGCTGCAAATTTTTAGTAAAGTTGATTAATCATTTGTAACACGAGAAGTGTACGAAACGGAATATTTTGGTCTGGTACTTCATTACTAGGATCAATGGTCCGTAACTAAGTCAAATAATTACGAAACTATAAAAGGGTATTTATGCTTTCAATGAATTCTTTAGTCTAATATTTGCATATCACTAGAATTTGTTTATTCTTTTCATTGTGTAATATTAACAAATCCTATCTCCTAACCTATCTATTACTTTTTCAGTTGACTTACTTTGGTAATTTTTGGAAAGAAGAGTAATAACAGTATGAATAAAGACGTGAAGCATAACCGTACCCCTAAACGTACACCAATAACTGAAGACTACGAAATCACGAAGCAGGTTTTGGGTCTAGGCATAAACGGCAAAGTGGTTGAATGTTTCAATAGGGCTACAAAAGAAAAATTTGCCTTAAAGGTAGTCTCACTATCAATACTTTCAGTGAAGTTTTTATTAGTCATTGGTTAAAGTATGATGACCTTCAATTTCTGTTTATTATTTTTATTTTCAGATACTTGTGGATAGCGTTAAAGCCAGAAGAGAAGTTGATTTACATTGGCGTGCAAGTGGGTGTCGTCATATTGTTAATGTCATTGACGTTTATGAAAATACTTACAACAATAGTACATGTTTGCTCGTCGTTATGGAATGGTAAGCAAAATTCTTTAATATGTTAGTTTACTTGCTGTTAACTCGTAAAATATTTTTGTAGTATGGAAGGAGGAGAACTATTTCAAAGAATACAAGATAGACCAGATGGCGCATTTACTGAGAGAGGTAAATTTATACAATAAGTGCAAAAATGACCTCATAATTATTAAAATTTTATTTTTAGAAGCAGCGCAGGTTATGCATGAAATTTGTATAGCTGTGAAATACTTACATGATAATAATATTGCCCACAGAGATTTAAAACCAGAAAATTTGTTGTATTCAAAAAAAGGCACTTATGGTGTACTTAAATTAACTGACTTTGGCTTTGCTAAGGAAACGCTAATAAAAGACACTCTTCAAACACCATGTTATACCCCGTACTATGTTGGTATGTGTCACGAAAAGAACTACAGACAGTGTTATTTGATATTTATTATTTTCAGCTCCTGAAGTGCTAGGACCAGAAAAATATGACAAAAGCTGTGATGTATGGTCATTAGGTGTGATTATGTATATTTTGTAAGTTTCTGCAAGACCAATAGGCCGATAGCATACTAGAGTACCAAATATATAATTAAATTTAGTTTTTATCAATACATTCTCATTGGCTGTTTATAGTGCGATATTGGCTACAAGAATGTCATTTGATTTAATATTTGTTTTAGGTTATGCGGTTTTCCCCCGTTTTATAGCAATCATGGTCTTGCTATATCGCCTGGTATGAAAAATAGAATACGAATGGGGCAGTACACTTTCCCCAATCCAGAATGGCAAAACGTTAGTCAGGATGCCAAAGATCTTATAAAGGGCATGCTTAATGTCGATCCTGCTAAACGTTTTACTATAGAACAAGTAATGAGCAACAGATGGATTGCTGTAAGTTATTTATTAAAATTAGAATGACATCTGTCTTTGTTCATTTAAAAAATAATCCCGTCTTCCTTCCAGCAATACACGGCAGTTCCCCAAACTCCACTACACACGAATAAAATGTTAAAGGAGGGTGTAGAAATGTGGCCAGAAGTGCAGGAAGAGATGACACGTTCGTTGGCAACGATGCGTGTAGATTATGACCAAGTACAAATAAAAACATTGGAAAATTCCAATAACCCTCTCTTAAATAAACGTCGTAAGAAAACGTCAAATACAGTTAAATCATAAACCTGTCCCTAGTTAAAATATCTCCATTTTAAATAAATCTAAAATATTTGTTTAATTATTAGTGATTTATAAAATCATTTTCTTTAATTCTAGCTCATTGACTTCATTGAATCGAAGGCATTTATATAGAAAAAAGTATTCTTAATTTGTTATTTTTATGATCAACGAATTTAGATGTACTCTAAACTAACTTTATATTTAAAGTCAGATAGACAATTAAAATTTTCATGATTATTTTAAAAATTACGTAGAAAAAGATTTGTATTATTTGAGCACAAAATCCGTTTGTAAATGTATTTATTTTTGTGCTCTGATTTTTAATGTACATCACTTAAATTTAAGTATACTTATAGTAATTATAAATGTATTATAACGCTAAAACAGATGCCAAGGCGCTTTTTTTGCAAGCGCTATTCGCAAATTTATTTTACTGTTATAATATCAATCCTAATGCTTAACTATACAATACAAACTTGTGGTTTTTATACAAAGTATAAGGAGAATTGTGTAAATTATACTTAAATAACTTTATTGACAAAACATATTTATTCTTTTTAAATAATTAAACAATAATTATAGGTGACAACTGAAAATTGATTTACATGATATTAAAATAAGTTTGTACAATTTTTCCTTTTGATCAGAGTAATAGTTAAGCATTTTAAAGACAAAAATATTGTGCCTTACTAAGTAAATTTCTAAATGTCGTTAGTGTTCTTCAGTTTGTTCAGTATTTTTGAAAAAGGTACAAAAGAGATAAATTTTTGTGCATGAATGTTTTCGAAATTCCATTTATACATCGATCTGTTTTGCAAGTTCAATTAAATATGGTTTGTGTTATCACAGTAACACAGTAAAATAACATCCTTTGTGGTCAGATTTGTTTTCCTGTAAATTTTTAAGAATGTAACCATTTATACATGAATATGTAACATATTTTTTCTCAACCTAAATTATTTTCTGTTACGTTTTGATTTATTTTTATGTCTGTTTAAAATTTGTAATGTCAAACAACTTGCCTCTGACAAAAATATAAAATTACTAGTGATAGAGAAAAAGGACTTTTCCACTAATATACTACAAAACATCAATTATTTTTCCTGGAATTTGCTCAGTGTTAACAAAATAGTCCTGAAAGATCCATATTAAAAATAGAATGCTTATTGTTCCTAAAATTGTAGGTTGTGAGTCCAAAAGTTATTTTTAAAATGTTAAACACCGTTAATTAAGTACATATTTAAGATATTTCATTGGTGCGATTATTGAGCAATATACGATACCAAACAGTTTGTGCGCAATTTTACAAAGAAATGTATAAAAATATATATTCAGTATTGGTGCTATATTTACCAATTTGATGTCAAAATTAATTGTCCTTTTGTTACTGTAAGCTAGTATAGTACCAAACTTTAAAAAATGTATACAAGAAAGAAAAGAAAATATATATGATGTTTTTAAGGTATGTTATTAGTGTATACTATTTATAGAAGTTATATGTCCTTAACAGGTTTTCACATTGAAATTAAAATTTTACCTTGTAAGTTTTAAATAGAGCTAGTATTCATTTTTAATAATTTACAGCCCTTCATTGTTATACAAACGATAAGTTTGTTATTGCAAAACAAAATATACTAGTGAGAACTGCACTTTATTTTATTGATGCATCTTAACCCAAACAACATTCCATTTTATATATCTAAAATTTTTGGCGAAACAAGTAAAATTCAGTAAAAATTAAAGTTATTCAAAAATGATAATTGGAAATTGATTATCGAATAATTTAATATAAAACTTGTGTATCTATCTGGATTAATTATGAATTAAAAGAATGCAATAAAATAACCAATTTAAAAAAAAATGTACATTGTACAAGTGTAAAATTAATAGTTATAATAGTATCATGACTCTTTTTGCAATATTCGATAATTATGAATGAATGCAACAGAATAACCAATTTTAAAAAAAATTGTACAAGTATAAAATTAAAAGTTATTTATAATAGTATCATGACCCTCTGCTATATTTTTGTTATACCTATGTAACGAAATAAAATTTTAATGACCCCATCGTCAATACATAAGAGTTCAGTATTTATAATGGAAAATTATAAATGAAAATTGATTTCGTTAATACACTATTAAACAGCTCTGAATTATGTATGTTTGACGCAACTGGCTTAATATTTTCTTTTCTATTCATTTGAATTTTGAATGAAAAAGAACTTTCAATAGCAGCAGATATATATTTATTTTTTTTGAATTGTGAAGAGTATACGCCAGGGTCAAAATTATGGTTTTAGTGGTAAGTGTCACTATACAGGGTTCTTCATGGTAAGTGGCCTATTAGACGTTTCATAGAAACCAAAGACAATATGACTGAAATTTTGTTTACGGGGGTTATCAGATATGTTCTCTTCAATGAAAATAATGCCATCAACTTCATTATTTTAAATGGAACACCTTATATATTACTGCATTACCGACAAGATAAATTAAAAATAGATCAAAAATGTTAAAGCTTCCCTGTACCTAAATCTAACATTTTCGAGATAATCATTTTCCAAAAAATTTCACAGATGCGTTTCGAAAATTCCTTATATCTTTCTTCGTTCTGGGAGCTTTCACTTGCTTTTCGGAATACACAAAGAACATAAGATGCACTACTTTTCGCAATAAAAATTACCTGAAGAAAATTATACTAAGTGTCTCATTTTTTACGTTACATTTTGAAAACTTAAAACCGACAAAACTTTTTAAATTCAAATGGAACACCCTGTATTTTTCTGCATCATATTATAGAACATCAAATTTTCTTTTCACCGATGTGGGCATTGTAAGAGTTACAGTTTCAATTTTCTCAGATATTTCCGGTTTACTTACATTTTCAAGAATATTACGGTAAAATATCATCAAATGTGCCTTGAAATGCAAATATTAGTATTGTCATTCAGTATTCTACAAGTATCAAGTACTTTCTCGACAAAAAAATGCAGGATAATTATTCTAAAGACATTTTGAATTTATTTTATATCCATGGGACGGACCTTCACCATGAATCAGTATTAGCTACATTTCTATGAATTGGTATTTTGCAAAATTTGAAGAATTTGACGCAAATGAAACTCGGCCATCTACATACAATAGCGTTCTTTGTAGAACATTGATTTTTTTTTCATAAATTACATTAATAAAGTGCGTTGTTTCACGTTTGTTGCATCAATAATGAGGGGGTATATTTACACATAAATAATACCTAATAAGATTTCCTTCCATTGTGATACTATTATTAGCAAATGCAAGTACAATAAAGAGCAAATAAGCATCCTTTCATTCCTTCAACATCCTTCAAGAAAACAATGAAATGTAAAGTAAACAAAATTTTAAATTGTAGTTAGTATCCTCTCAACTTCATTCCAAATATCATAAAATTATAATAATGCATTTATTAGTTATTTGAAATGATCTTATTTATTGTCTTTGCTATTCTTTAAAAACTTTTACAACATTAAAAATTAGAGAGAAATTCTAAGAAAACCATCCGAAATCATTTCAATAATTGTTCTGTTTCTGTTGCAACATACCAAATCATAGAAATACAGCTAATAATTTTGATTCACGGTGAACGTTCCATGGATATAAAAAAATTCAAAATATCTTCATTAGAATAATAATTATTTAGCATTTTTCTTGTTGAGCAAATACTTGATACATGCAGAATACTGAATAACAGTACCAATATTTGTCTTTTAAGGCACATTTGATGATATTTTACTGTAATATTCTTGAAAATGTAAGTAAACCGCAAATATCTGAGATAATTGAAACTGTAACCCCTACAATGCCTATATCGGTGAAAAGAGAATTTGATTTTCTATAATATGATTCAGAAAAATATAAGGGTGTTCCATTTGAATTTAAAAAATTTTATTGTCGGTTTTAAGTTTTCAAAATGTACCGCTTGCATCTGTCAAAATTGTTAGATTTAGGTACAGGAAAGCTTTAACAATTTTGACATATGACAGTGCTACGTTGACGGCATTATTTTCATTGAAGAGAACATATCTGATAACCCCCGTAAACAAAATTTCAGAGTCCTACAAGGTGTATATGCATTGAATACTTATTTTACTATTTACTAAGCATACTTCATGATATGGAACTATACAATTATTTTCTAAATATTTTTATTTTTACAAGATTTCCAGGCCTTATTGGAAATGTATGGTATTTGACTTTAATAATAATAATAAATAAAAATATTGTCATATCAAAAAAAACTAAGTGACCTCTTATTTTTTTGTTGCAAGGGTTAATTTAATTAGGTAGGTACTTCATATTTCAAAAGTCGCAAAATATTCAACGAAATAAACTTATTTGGATAATTTCTACAAATAAATTGCTTACAGATAATATCTGGTAAAATGGAAATATTAGTAACGTAACCCAAATAAATTATTTTAGATAGGTATAATTATTAAGATCGTCTGTCACGAATACTATTTGGTAATGATTAGCAAAATTATCATTTGTTTTTTATAATAAGTTAGTTCGCAATCGATGACATATATGTAATTTCCTTCCCTAATTTAAATTCATTATTGATAATCAATGCATAAGGTCAATTTTTTCAATCCTTTGTCGATTTAATTACTGAGTTGGCATGACTTTCGAAATTTATCGTACTCAGATATCGTGACTGGGTAGGTATATTACGTTTCATCCAAGTAACAAGTAATACATTCTAGTCAAAGTCAAAGCTGTATTTGTACGTTCACTTGAATAGACGCGCTTTAGTGCTGTCGCTCTCAGCCTGTGAATCGAATGTAATATATGACCTACTTGACTGTGTAGAAAGCATATAATTAAAAAAATTCACTTTCTAATTAAATTTTGTCGGTTGTAGACGAATTTTACAAGTCTTTCAAATCTTCTGAATCGAATTCAGCTAGTTCAGTGTTTTAAAGGTAAGTAGTCTGCAAAATATCCTTTTAATTAGGATTACATAATTTTTTGTAGGTTATTCCACATCGTCAAATATGTCTTGCCCTTTTCTAACAAGGCTTAGCAAAAATTACGTAAAGAATTATGCTCCGATTTTGCTAAAAATGTATGGCAGTCAATGCCCTGTTATCTCACGGAATTTGAATGATATGACTAAGAAAGAGCTAGCTACCCAAGTACAAGGTGAGGTGCTTATACAATGATTTTTATTCTCTGTTTTACATTTTATTTTTAGATTTTAAGGATGAAGCAAAAAATTCTTGTCCTTTTCTAAATGAAGTGGCAACTGTAATTGTAGAAGTTCCGCAGGATGAGAATATTGTTGAGTCAAATATTGAGAACAAAGTCAAGGAAAGTGAAAGTATGTATCCTTTGTGTTAGTTTGACCTTAATTATAAAAAATATGTATGTATTTTAGGGGAGAACACAGAAAAAATATTTTAGGTAGTAAGACTACCTGTTACTAAATAAATGATGTTGTATAACACAATAACCTTGAAAAATTCCCCAAAAATTGAACAGAAAATATTGTTCCTTACTAAGTAAATGTTTGGTGTTATTCATTAAAATAATAATAATTTATTATAACAGCATAATTCACTATATTGAACAGAGTATGTGTTTCAGTATTAGTAATTCAAATTTAATATAGAATTTCAAATTTACAGTTGAAAAGTTCTTTTATGTAAATCCCCTGTAAATAGGGAATTTCCCAAATCAAAGTGAATCATTCATATTCTGAAATGTGTATTTAAAGATTTCAAGTAAAAAGCAATTTAAATTTTTTACAGTATTTCCAATAATATCTGATTTTTTCTAATACAATAAAAGTGATACTTTTAAGTGGTAATTTTATGAAATTAAATTGTATAATTATTTTTTAGATATTTTTGCTTATGATCAGTTCTTCCACCAACAAATAATGAAAAAGAAACGTGAACATTCTTATAGAATTTTTAAAAAAGTTAATAGACTTGCGGGACCAGGTCAATTTCCTCGTGCTATGGAGTATTCATGGGGTGAAAAACCTATAACCGTATGGTGTTCAAATGATTACCTCGGCATGTCTTGCCATCCTGAAGTTAAAGACGCTGTTCGGTATGTATAAAAACAGTACAAAAAATCGAATCAAACATTTCATTTTTTTTAGTGATGCTTTAGAGAAATATGGTACAGGTGCTGGCGGGACAAGAAATATCTCGGGAAATTCTACTTTGCATGAGAAGCTTGAAAAAACACTTGCAGATGTACATCAGAAAGAGGCAGCATTACTTTTTACGTCTTGCTTTGTTGCCAATGATTCTACATTATTTACTTTAGCTAAAGCATTGCCAGGTACTAACATATAATTTTCGAAAAGCACACAGATTAGAAAGCAAAATTTTAATAACGATCAGTAATTAAAAAGAACCTTGAATTAAAAATAATTGCACACTAGTAATGATTAATTATTTTTTAAATCTGACCTTGGCTACTAACTTATCTAAAGCCGACTGATAATGTTCATTTCTGGAAAACAAAAAAAAAAGTATAATCATTGATCCAAAGTATGGAAATTATCAGATTTTCTTATCAACAATTTTTTTCTAGGTTGCCACATATTTTCTGATGCTGGTAACCATGCTTCAATGATCCAGGGGATAAGAAACAGTCATGTTCCTAAACATATTTTCCGACACAATGATCCTGGTCATTTAGAAGAACTACTGAAATGTGTTGATACAAAAATTCCAAAGATCGTTGCATTTGAAACTGTTCATTCTATGTCAGGCGCCGTATGTCCTTTGGAGGTAAATTGCCAGTAGTTCAATTTAATAAAGGATAACTCTAATAAAATTTTCAGGAATTATGTGACATTGCTCATAAATATGGTGCTTTAACATTTGTCGATGAAGTGCACGCAGTTGGGTTGTATGGTGAACATGGCGCTGGAATTGGTGAAAGGGAACATGTTCTCCATAAAATGGATATGATTTCAGGTACCTTAGGCAAAGCCTATGGTAACATTGGTGGATATGTAGGTAATTATCATATTCACATGAACATGCTATTATTTACTTTACGAGCCTCCTTGATGTATCTTGTTAATTATTTTCCGTAGCATCTTCAGCTTCGTTGATTGATATGGTGCGTTCCTACGCTGCTGGTTTTATATTTACAACGTCCTTGCCTCCGACTGTCTTGGCAGGCGCCTGTAAAGCTGTGGAAATCTTAGCTTCGGATGAAGGCAGAAAATTGAGAGAAAAACATCAATCAAATGTAAAATATCTCAGGAACACTTTGCTTTGCAATGGCTTCCCGGTGGAACATACTCCAAGTCATATTATTCCAATAAAAATCGGAAACCCTGTTCAGTGTGGTGCTGTTTGTGATACATTACTGAAAGAAAAAGGGCATTATATACAAGCCATTAATTACCCCACTGTTGCAAGAGGAGAGGAAAAATTGCGCTTGGCTCCAACACCACATCATACTAAGGAGCTTATGGATACATTGGTAAACGACTTGAAGGATGTATGGAAAGAGTTGAAACTGCCGTTCACTGGTTTACAGTGTGGCAAGGTAAATAATTTAATAATTTTCAAGCTTTAGTTCTAATGTAAATTGTTTCAGGAATGTCAGTTTTGTCATCAGCCAATACTGTTTGATTTTTACGAATCGAGGCAGAATCGACTCTGTGCAAGAGATATTCGGTGTAACATTCCCAACTGCCCTCAAATGATTGCCATTACAGCATAAACATGTTATTACGTATATCTAGGTGTTGGTAAAACAGGGGCTTTAAAAATGATATTGTAAAAGGGTTGTAATTTTGTTGTTGCCTAATCATCACAGTATGGAAATCTTTTATCTGAGATAAATTATTTTAGCACAGTTTTATTTTTCTATATTTATTGTTTTATAAAAATTTGCTTAATATATGTATACAATGTATTTCAAATATAATTGACATTTTTATTTTTTCTTAAATACATTCACCATGAGTACCAGGTAGGCAAGGATGATGCAGATTAAACAAATAAATAAATTCATTCACACTTTATGTTTTGCTCTACAAAAAAATATTTAATGAATTTTAGAATACTCGACTCTAGATACAATGGTAGTACTTTAAGTATGCATTTGTTTACAAATAACTTCAACATTTAAATCCTTTCTGTAAAATAAGTTTGTTTTGCTATTCTAAAATTGTTTGAATTCTAAAGATTGACCAGACCCTGTTGTATAAATGGTGAATGTATAGTTTACCCAAAATATTTAGGTATGGTATGGATTGTGCTCTCAAAAATTGGCCTAAAAATAATGAGGTCACTTATGGCATTCTGTTCCCCTATTGGATTATATCAACTCGTCGCAGAATTACTACCAACTTTATGTTTTCCGCCAATGTGCCTTAAATATAAAATAGCGAGCCTATGTTGGCCTATTAATGAAAAAAGTAAATATATTTTTTTTCTGAACAGTAAGGATATCTACTTTTTTAGAAAATGTATATACCGATTAAAGCCGTTTTTTTTAACGAATGAATTTAATTTCGTGAAATTATAAAAAAGAAAAAAGGTGTATAACTGTAATAGTAAACAAGGCTATTAGTATGAGTGACCCAGATACCATATTTTCACAGCAATAGTAGTACATAATATATAATTATGTAGGTAATAATCTATACTTTTTTAAATAAACAATTCCCCCCTCCCCCCCACTCTAAGTTGGTTATGTACACAATTTTATGGATTTAATTATTTTTGGTTTTTTTGGCTTACCTATAGTTTACTAAGATTATCCTTTAATTTTTTTAAGTGACTGCATAATGTGACTAGATATTTGAAACGGTAAAAAATTACATGGTAGGATTGGTAGGTAGGTACTTAGAAATGTCGGAAAAAATATACCTACCTAAAATCTAAATATTTCGATTTTTCGTTATAAACTTTAAATTTATATGTTTCTAATATAAAATTATGTTTATATTAGGGTGGGTTTACATGGATTAAATTTAAAAAACTACGTAAGGGAATAATTTCGTGTATTTAGGTGGATTTGGAATGGTTTTGTCCCCCATTACTGCGCATCCGCAATAATATAACAAATAGGGTCGTTGCCATGTTAGTTGGTCCAAAACATTGAGAGAGAGTGTTTCTTAACAAAGTGTGGTCAAAATTCAAGTTATAAAATGCAAAGCTTGAGTGAATAAGTGTCGTGATTTTAGCAAAATACGTATTTACGAACAAAGGAAGCAGTGAAGCAAGACAGCAGTCATTTTATAACGGGACGTAGTTTCAACGCATGCTCTATGCACAGTATCCTAGTGATGATTTTATGTAGCGGCGTCGAATAAGAATTTTGATTTGACGTGTTGTGTAAAGCTTTTGGTTGTATATCTAATATGATATTCTCTGAATTGTGTATCAAAGAACTGTTTGAGAAATGTTACGAATTGTAAAGTGATATTTTATAGTGCTGTCTTTGAGATAATGCAATGAACCGCATCTTTTATCATGTAGGACCAGCGTGTTCCAGCAAATAATCGTGTTTCAAATAATATTAAACTAAAGTGCATGTAGGTTACTTGCTAAGTAGATTTATTTATTTTTAAAATGTACGCTAAAGGAAAGGGATCAACAGTGCCGTCCGATGCACAAGCTAGGGAAAAGTAAGTTGTTTTCCCATTTTACAATTATTCTCCTAGATACCTATCTATATCTTATTTTAAGAAAATATCCTCTTAATACTTGCATATTGTACCTAAGTAATCGCTCTCACTAATATAAGTTTTCTAAACTTTTTACATATAGACAAGCACGTGCTTTTTAATATTTACGATTTATTTTGTTTATATTTTAAACATCTTTTATTAGCCTATTGTTTCTGTTTTATTTAACTATGCTGTGCTAATACTGTAATGTAGTAATTTTTGTTTACATTTAAATATTTTCAGTTTAAATTTCGTTTTGTATTTAATATATTTAAATTAATGGATTATATTTTTGACTAAATATTTTCCACAGGTTGGCATTGTACGTTTACGAGTATTTACTGCACGTCGGTGCCCAAAAGGCTGCCCAAACTTTCTTATCTGAGGTAAAGTTGATTGTACTTTATTTTATTTTCTTGATATATGCTTAAAATCAAATTATATTGTAGATACGATGGGAGAAAAATATAACGTTAGGAGAACCACCAGGATTTTTACATTCATGGTGGTGGTAAGTTGTCATTTTACATTTAATTAGTCATTTTACAAACTGTATTATTATTACAGTGTTTTTTGGGATTTGTATTGTGCGGCTCCAGAAAGAAGGGACACTTGTGAGCATTCTTCAGAAGCAAAGGCTTTTCATGATTACGTGAGTATTTTTCTGTTCTGCTAGTATTTAGTTGGATCAATACTTCGTGGTGTTGATATGTGGCAACGTCGCGCCGAGTATACGCGTTTGACCAGGTATACTCGCCCAGTTCAGTACTCGACGAAATGTCGTTTTTAGTTTTTGAAATTGTACTTTGAATTCGTCAGTTTGTTTGAAAATTGGATGAATTAATCCTGGAAAGATTTATTTAATCAATGATTTATGTTCATTTCCTTCGGTGCGCCGTTTATGTGGTTTGGCTTGTATTTATTTGCTTGTTTGGTTAACATTCTTACAGCCCAAGTAGAGAGCCTTGAATTTTTATCTACCGAGCTAGAATTACGGTACGACGTACGACAGTAGTTTTGATATCAAGTCGACAGCTCTTCGGTTTCTTGGCAACGAAAATTTATAAATGCCTGTCCTCCAGAATAACCGTTTTTCTTTTAATCTGGGGATATTTTTTATATTTGGATATGAAATACATATTTCTGTGTCTGTTTGAGAAATGTTGACAATAAAAGTTTCGTGCGTTGAAGGTGATTATTATGACCTTTAATGGGAATATATAAAAAATATATTACAGGGTCACATATAATAAGAGTAGTAGGTTTACTTTATGACTTATTGGGAATCAAATATTTCAATTAATAATGTTTGCACTACAAAAAATGTCAATCTGACATATTTTAACTTTAAAATCAATTAAAAATTAAATTTTTATTTTATTTTTTAATTTAAACGGCTTGTTATTATGCATACTTAGGTTCCTAAATGTTGCACTAAATTTTGTATACAGAGCAGTGCAATTTATATTTTTATTTATATAAACGCCATCAAAATATATTATTTCGAAACTAATTTCGGTTTTTTTGTTTGCTTTATAAAAATGAATTGTTTAATTTTATTTACGGCATCTTTTTTATTTAGTAATACTATTATTAATATAGACGTAACGGTCCTTTCATTTCAAAATTCTAACTGCTGCTAAAATTAGGAACTTCATCATTTTGGATTGTCATTTGTACGTAATGAAACAAAATCACTTCTCATTTTTCGATAAAGTATAAACATTTGCTGCGTTCAATTGTATATTCTAGATTAAAGTGACAGTGATTTTTGTTTTTTATGATACCGTTTTACTAATAATAAAATTGACGGGGAAGTGTTATGAACTATGATTGACATAACAGGGTATACGTAATATTTACATAACGATAGCTTTATTTAGAATAAACATGGTTCGCGTAAGTGACGATTGAGAACAAAATCAATCTATCTTTTATAATTCTTACAGCCGTCGCAAGCATAATTATGTAACAAGAAAATATTAATAAATATTATACTTTTGGTGTGTACGAGCGTGTATTTTTTCTAAATAATTGCAATTAAATTTTACAAATGGTAAATATTAGTCTTCTGTTCGTACTGTTTTTAAAAGATGGTACTGCTTTATAATTTCTCTTTAATTTCTAATTATTAAATTGACTGAAAATTCCAACGTGTATTTAAATTTACTCGTCTAAAAATCACAAAAACTAAAGCTGCAACGTAAACCAATTCACCACGTTGTATTGATGTATACAGTTCCAAAAATAAAACTTTCTTCGTGCTGTTACATCAATATTTATTTTCGAAATGCGTATTCCCATAATGTAGATATATCCCATCATTATATTTAGTATTTTTATAAAAATTATACATTGAAAAAATGTTGACAGCATTGAGTGTGCGTATTTAGCAAGTTTAATTGTTTTAAATATAATACTGTTCTAAAAATATAACCTATAAGTACTATGTAAAGGTACTAAAGATTCAACAAAAACTAGTCTGCTCTGACTTGAAACAATGCTAAGGTGTAAGTTTTTATTGGTCCACTACACCAATCTTATTTTCCACATCCTGAACTCGGCAAATATTTATAAATTTGATAATCTTGGCAAATATATTTGTCGGAGGTGGCCTACAAGGTTTACTAACAAACACCCGGCAAACATCGGGTATAATCGACTATAGTTGAACGTTTATAAATCATTGAAGAGTTGGATGAACTGTTTAGATAACGGTTATATAGATTTCTTGTATGTATAAGTTGGCCTAGAGCAAGTTGTCTTAGGTAAAATAAGAATTAGTGCTTATGTACGTTTTAATATTTTCAAGTAGCGTAATAAATTATACAATTAAAAAAATATTTTAGCCTCAAAAACAAAGAAACCTCGGCCTTCGCAGTACTCAGCCTACGGTGGTGAAAGGTGGAAAATTTTAACTTAATTTCAGTAGAACAAAATAGTTCCTTTTCTGCAGAAATAATATTTTCGAACTGAGCAAAAATGCATCTACATAAATTACTATAATTTGGATGTGACCCATGATTAACCAGTTTCATAACAAATAGAGGGAATTAGATTTGTTAAAAATTATACCTACATTATTGATTTTATTTCTTTTTAAGTAAAGGGTTAATTAAGTAGTAATTACATACCCGCTTAAGATTTGTCATTTATAGGTTTGTCTATAATTGTTTTTCTAAACTCTTTAGACGCTCAAGAGAAATAAAAATATCGAAATAACGTTTTGTATTATGTCGGAAACTAGAGGTGGGTATTATGTATTTAAATATATGCTAATTTTAAACGTGCATTTATAAATTTTCGATTGCGCATTTGCAGTATCTTGTAAAATAAACATTGCTTTTATGACTTTATGGATATTAGCAGCATTTCGTGGAGAATTTTTAGATCAACTTGTTCGTGCTTCGGTTTGTTTATCCAATACCGGGTGACCTTTAAAAATGTGTTACCTATCTCGAAAAGTATTGGCAAATTATATACGAGGTAATTCATATACCTAAATATTATGTGTGTAGGTGATATAATTTAAAAAAAAAGTATAAATAAATACTTAAACGTTAATTAGAGGAAAAAACTATTTTACGTTCAGATTTGCGGATATTTTTCATTCTTTATTTGGGGATGATTAGAGAGCTGTGATCTTGATAGACATTATGCATATTTATTGATAATAGATATCAGTAAATTATTGCAAGGTATTAACATCTTTTTATAATGCTAGTAATAATTACAGCGGTATACCTGCTACTCAATCTTTTTAGCACGCCAGTGAAAGGCCACTTTAAAATTTTACAAATGATAAATTAGAAAGCGAGATTCCAAGATTTCTATGCGTACTATTTAAATGCTACACTTACAGCGCATTGTTGCCACGATTAAATTAATTTCACTAATTAAAAAAATTATATATTTATTTTCGTAAAACGTGAAACTATTGTTGAAAATAATAAATAGCTGTTACAGAATTTAAAGCACTGAAATAATTTAATAAAATTCTGTTGATATATTTTTTCCACTTTGTTTGGCACATGATGATCTATAATTCTTTAAATAATTTTATTTAAAGAATTAATAATAATAAAAAAGTATACAGGGCGGTCCCGTTAATAATTATTGTAGGTATATTTTTATTTTAATCTGTACCCTGTACCTGTGGGTAATAAATATTACAGGTTTTTTTATACAGATGAATAATATTATTTTAAATAATTATTGAATTACAAAAAATCGATATAACACTAAAATATTTTAGTAAAATTTTTCTATAATTCTTTAAAATATTTTAAGTAAAAAAATGACACTTCATTATATACAGTAAAATAATTTCAATTGATTTTGTAACAGATATTTTATGAGAAATATAAAGTTTCCTACAAGTATTATTCTTGCACTTATTTTCAGTTCTCGATAGGGAGGCAATTTTCGAGTGACCACTCTGTTCACATATTTTTGATAATACGGATGTATAATGCTTATATATTAATTTTCGTTCTTCTTTTTCAGGGTTTCGTAAATTCTGGGTATGGAGTAAATGGCATAGCACATGTAAGTTTCTATTTAGAATTTTCTGTAGTATACACCTACACATCATCTGCTAGTTGCAATTTCACGATGGAAATTAAATATCTAGGAAATCCTTTTAATTTATAAAATGCAATCAAAGATAAAGTTTGAATGATAATTTCCACTAGCAGTTGCTAAAAAATTATTTGTTGCATAGAACAATCATTTTTTACTATTAGAAAAGGGCATGTTTCAGAACACAGGACCCGCTCCAAGTCCTTTGGGTCAAATGCCGCCTGCTGATGGCATGCCAAGTGGTCCTTTACCTCCTGGATTCTTCCCTGTAAGCATATTTTAAAATGACTTATATACGTGTTTTTTTTTTATTCGTGTATGTATTGTTGGAATATCGATAACTTTCATCACATCTGTGAAAGGTCATAGAAATTTAGAACTGTAGAAAGTTTATGGTACAATGCTACTACAGACAGTAAATATATCAATTAAAATACATATCTATCTGCCCCTTTTGGAAGTATCGTAACTTAGTGCTTTGTATTAGAATTCAACATTACGTCCGTCGCCACCAACGCATCCTTCAAGTCAACCCTCGCCGCATTCACAACCCCCACCACCACATTCACAAATTATGACATCACAACCGTTTATGGGCCCAAGATATCCAGCGGGCCCCAGGCCCGGAGTAAGAATGCCTCAAATTGGAAGTGATTTTAATGGAGTATGTATATGTCTCTTGGTTTATAACAAGATAACAGTGTCTGTACTAGAACAATTTCAAAAAATATTTTAAACAAGTTTAACTAAAATAATCACTTCATACAAACGCTCCATTGTTATCTTGTTTTCAGACATTTATATTTAAAAGAATTTTACATATCGTTCGACAATAAATCAAACTTATTTCATTTAACATCTGTGTTTAAAGCCGCCAGGACAGCCTTTGATGCCGAATAACATGGATCCTACGAGGCAAGGTAAATATGTTCTATAAAACATTCGTATATATGTATTTTTTTTTTTAATTTATAACACCTTATAGCTACAGAGCTTCTGGTTAAATCTAGCAATTTTCACTGTTAAGAACATATAAATTAAATACTAATAAATCCCGTAACAGAATTTTAGAAGTTACGACTAGAGTGTGAACGAATTACATTTTTTTTAAACATACAAATATTAAGTATATAGAAATTTATATTATTAAACTAACGAAAGACCTGCAATTATGTAAATTTTTCTCTACTAAACAAAATTTTCCTTAGAAATTTGCAAAACGATATGGATTCGCTTTTTAGCTGTAAGGTGTGAAGATAGCGATTAATTATTAATAATTAATAAAGTTACTTTAATATTGATTATAACAAATGAGAGAATTGCACAAGCATGAAGCGGTTTCATAATATACTACACAAAACTAAACAGGGATGCCGCTTAAGCTCTATTGCAGTCAGTATGATAATGAATCACTTTTCAGTTTCGAAGTTAAACATTTATAATAATTTGTTTAATTATTTTTAACCAAGGGTTTCTAATTTTTATTTTCATTAAGCTCAAATCCAGTGAAGGAAAATAAATAGTGATTATAAATTGTTCGTTTATTTGACTGGAGAATACTTAAAAGTAAATATAATAAGTGATTGGTGTCTTAGTAAGCTGTTATTATAATCAACTGTATACACATATATTTATTTTCTAATATAAAAATGTATTTTGTCTACTATTTCCAATGAAATAGTTACCCTGCGTGATTTTCATTTGTACATTTTGAAGTGTTTATATGTATATACAAGTCTCTCAGGTTTTACTTAATAATAAAAAATGGGGATGTTTTATTATTTGTGCTGGTTTCAATAGAACTATATGCGGTGCGAAGCTGTGTCCCTATCTAATTTTGAGCAGTGTATGCCTCATGTAATGCATCTATTTCTGTCTCCAGGTGAAGGCGGAGAATTTGTAGGTTGGCAAGGTAGGCAAATGCGCTCCTTCACCATCACACATCCATATGCATACACTTCTTCTGCTTGCTTTGCTTTTATATCATATAAACCATGGACAAAAATTATGCAGTACTGTTTTTAATTATTATTTTTTAGGAAATTTCAAAGTTTCAGTTGTAAACTGTAACATAGTTCATTTAAAGTTTTTCATATTACTCAGGGCTCGATAGTTGCCTAGTTTGTAGGCACTTATGCACGTAACGAAAAATATTTACATTCACATATATATTTGAAAAATAAACTCCTTTTTTATGTTATAAAACTGCATGTGAAGTTCTATTGTTCAAACCATGTTTTAGTTGCAATTTTTTTTACAGTTACATTTAAACGCATAACATTTCACAACATTACGAGTTGATCAAAGTATGGGCTAAGTTGGACAACTATTCAGTAGGTTAACTTACTGCTGCAAATAATTATAGATCATATATCCATAGAGATCGGCACTTTTCGGAAAAGTGTGTTACGGACATGTGGATGAAATGTCCGGACATGTCGGGAAAAGTATTTTTGACCTTGAATCTAATAAGGCACCTATGAGTGACGTTACAAAGCAATTTATTCTAATGAATATGTCTTATTAAATGTTATTTATTGTTTATCGTTAACTTTGCCAAAAATAATAAAATATGGACATTTAAAAGATGTTATATTTTTAAAATGTCACTTTCAGTTAAACAAGAAAATTACAAAAAAAATGGCTAAATATCTTTACTCTACATGTACCAACATCAAAAATTTTTTGAGGGAATTATGAATGCAACAAATAATTCCGCGCATGCGCATACAACTTTTCAATGTTGAAAAGTGTCCTCAGGACATGTTCACTTTTCGCGACATGTCCGCGGCACATCTCTATATATTCCATATTCAGTATATATATATATATATATATATTTAATGTTACTGTCCAATTTGCCCCACAAGTATGTAAAGATACCACACTTCTATCTAAAGTTGCACATAAATTTTCTGAAAGATAAATAATAAAAACTTGTGCATATTTTTTGGTTGCATGGTATGTCTCATTGGTGCTGGCATGCGGTGTCGTTGGTGCTCTACATACCTTAAGAGGCGTGTCTTTCAAAAATAATAAAAAAAGCAATTTCCGTTAGGTCCACCAGCAGCTATGAATAGAATGAACCCACCAAGGGGGCCTTCCATGGCACCTTTAGGACCAGGTACCTACGGCCCAGGATTGAGAGGGCCACCGCCTAATAGTAGTTTAGGTCCAGGGGGGCCAATGCCTCCTATGACGATGACAGGCCCTGGTGGACGACCGCAATGGCAACCTAGCACGTCGACGGTAAGCAGAATTTCTGATACAACCCGTGAAGGATAGAGCTTAGGATTAGTAAGTAAATTTTTTCTAGCCGATGAACTATTCGTCATCATCACCAGGCAACTATGGGGGACCTCCAGGATCCGCAGGCCCCGCTGGCCCCGGCACTCCCATCATGCCTAGCCCTCAAGACTCGAGTAATTCTGGCGGAGAGAACATGTACACGCTAATGAAACCCGCCGTGGGTGGCAACATGCCAGGGGATTTCCAGATGGGGGGTGGGCCGGATGGATCGGGCCCCATGGGACCCATGGGGCCTAACTCAATGGGACCGGTGTTAAACGGAGATGGGATGGACGGTATGAAGAACTCCCCTGCCAATGGTGGACCGGGTACGCCAAGAGAGGATAGCGGAAGTGGCATGGGGGACTATAATATTGGATTTGGAGGAGGCGAAAACGTGAGTAGTTGCGGTGGCCGGTGCTTTCGCTTTCAGGGGTCCCACTAAAACACGTAAATTTGCCTTTTGTCCCGAGTTACCCAGTTAGTCATATTAGTCATTTCGGTATTTGCAAATTCTCTCGAATTGTATGTGGGTAAGAATTCAGTTCTGTTAGAGTTATGTATTTGCTTTAACAGTTACTTAGTGTAATGGTGGAAGATCGAGTTTATGGAAAATTATTGTTGTTTTCTTTGTCTCGTAATTAAGGGGAAAGGACTTGCAAGCAAGCGAAAATTCATTATCGTTGTAAAATATTTAAATATCTAGATAAATACTGGTATATAAAGTATTTTTTTATAGAGGAATGTTTTAGAGTGCTGTGTTAGAAGTAAATGTACATTTTTATTTTTTTTTAATATTGGCTTGTTGAGTGATAAAGTTTATGCAGTAATCCAGCACTCGATCTTCAACTGCGAGTATCAACAGTGAAGCGACCTTAACAGAAGCAGTAGATTCGTACAGTAGATGTTTTCATAAAATGCTACATGGCTTTAGCTACTAAATTAATTCAGTAGTGGAAATATGTATCATGGACTAGATGAAGAACCATTTTGGTCCATTCTAATGAATTAGAAACCGATCCCTAGTACCTTTCCTAAACGTAGTCATTCCTGGTGGGACCCCTGCGCTTGTAGACTGACACTTACCCACTAAAGGTCGCTTTCCTTGCAGGACCAAACGGAATCGGCTGCTATTTTGAAAATAAAAGAGAGCATGCAAGAGGAGGCCAAGAGGTTTGAGAAAGACTCGGACCACCCTGAGTATTTTATGCAATAACTCCCCTCCCTCGCCTCTTGGGCTGGTGGACGCCTCTTCCTCTTCCTAACCTGTACTAACACGGGCGGTGGTGTGCTCAATACTCAGCTCTTCCCTGCGCCAACCGACTTCACTAGTCATGAGTGTTCTGTTCTGTTTGCAGATATTCCTGTGAGGCTGAGCTGAGATAGAGCAACCCGACCTGACCCGGACACCATTGGACAATTGCAGTCGTTACGGTCCTTCAACTCCCAACCACTACTAGCACACCACAGAACCAGCCTCAAAAAGTATCAGACACACAAGCCTCCATCATTCAATGTCCACCAGCCTAGGCATAGACTGTCAGGTAACGGGGGAAGCAAACTGACCAAGTATGAGGAAATTGATTCTACTTCCTCTGAAGGTTCACAGTTCAATCTTGGGCCTCCATATTAAACTTTTGTTTGTATTAAGTACAGTTGTATTTTTCTTTAATGCAATGTAGTATACATTTTTTAACATGGAAATGTCAAATTTAATTTATAAAATTAATCTAAATTATTACCGAGATGTCAGCTATACAATTTTCCTATAACTGTGCAGTTTGTTTGGTAAAACCCTCTTACCTGAAAGTCTATATAAGGTTGGATGTTTCACAGCGTTCTGTGTTGTCGTGTACTACTTGCATGTGTCTACATTCCTCCACGGGGCAGATTAAAGTTGGCTGAGGTTAGGCCAGTTAAAAGCCGCTACTGGACATCACAAACTGTAGTTTTATATAAATTTTTACAGTAGATTTTTAAGCGACTCTAATCCGCCCCTGCCTGTTATTTATTTTCACCTCTATGTGTACATGCAAAACTTAAGTGCAAGGAGTTCTATAAAGTTTCCAGTGTAACTAAACACAGATTATGTTCTTAAATACTGTACCTTTTCCATCAGATTGTTTCGTATCACTTTTACTTAATTAAAAATTATGATCTTGGACCGTATTAGGGTAAGATAAACGATTATTATTTATAAAAGTTTCTCTTAAAAATATATACTTAAATGAGTTATTAGAATATTAATTTTATGGATGTTTGTATGAAAGTATTGATTGATATGTGATATGAAAATATTGTGAAAATGTATGATTCATTTAATATTGTTTTCTTTTTTGTATGATGGATAATAAATATTAAAAGTTTATTGTCTTTTTTTCACCTCACTTCCCAATCCCAAAATGTACTTTACAAAAACATAAAAGTGGTGAAAAATTAAAAAATAACAATAAAAGATGAGTATAAAAAATAGATATAACAGTAAATTATATTAAAGAATATTTGAAGTGACCAATTTTTTAACTAAAAAGTATTCATATTTAAATTTCATTAAAAAAAATGGTATGTATTTTGTAATAACTATAAAAATGTGTGATATTCAATACCGAGGAGTATGTGAGGATATCTTAAGGGGTAAGAGAACAGATCTCTTAGGATAGGTAAGTATAGGTATAAAAATAAAATAATTAATTTGGTAATGTTAAATAATTTTTTATTTGTTTATTTAAAAAATGAAAGCTAAATCCAGAAGCCTTCTTATTCTCGCATATATTAGGCCGGTATTAGACTAAAAGATATTTGACAAAGATCTTCTATAAAAGATTTGACAGTGTAATATCACTCCTTTTATAGAAGATATTTTATAGGAAGTAACAACAAGCGATTACCTTTGACAAAATATTTGGCAATTTCAAAACAATATGGCCGAAGACAAGTTTGTTTGGTGCGTTTCGGCTACCAAATTGTTAAGCATCACAATTTCCTTAAAAATATACAAAGTTCTTTGACAGTGTAATACTACTCTACTGCTCAGAAACTTTTGTTAAAAAAAATATTTTATAAAAGATCTATGTCATATATCTTTTATAGTCTAATACCGGCCTTATTGTCCAGCCATGTACTAAAAAATATGTGCTAGCAACGTTAAATTTACACTAGGGGCTAGTGCCCGGGCGGCAAAATTCGGGGCTTGAGAAAAAAATCTTTTTTGCGCTATCAAAAATGCTTCAAAATGTGTGCATTTACAAATAAAAATAAACACAATAAATTTATATATTTATCTAGACATATAACCTGTGCATAATTTACAATGATGATTCACTGACGGAAATAAAAGTTAAGCGGATTTGCGTATCGAAAGCGCGCTTTGGAGAAAAATAAAAAGGAGAATGAAATATTAAACTAGATGGATTTTTCACAAAAAAAGGAAGGTACAAAAACAAAGCCGGTTAATGATTGCATCAATTCAGAACAAGGAAGTATGTGGAAGTTTAGCCATCTTATGCATTGAATCAGAGTTGCTTCAACGTTTGGATTGTGAAGATTTAATTGACCAATTTGCAAATAAAAATGTCAAGCGCGTTTGTCTCTAAAAATATATATTCTGTATCTCAATTTATGTGTCATGAATGATTTTGAATACGAAAAAGAATGTTTCTTGTGTAATCATCCTAATCATAATAAAACTATTTTCAACAAATCAATTATTTTATTTATTTAAAAAAAAAACTGAAAAATAGTTGACCTTGCAGGCCATCTCTTAAATTTTTCGTTATTTTCGAGCTTAAAGCGCTCGAAAACACGCATTACTTTTTTCAATATTTGGGCAGAAATATCTTTTAAATTAATCAACTGGTTGAGATCCACAGCACTTGTTAACGTTTTTAAAGTATAAACAGATAGCTGAGTACCAAATTTCGATTTCACTAGGAATTCGAATATCGTTTCAAAAGAAAAAAAAAACTCGAAACTTCGTCAACAATATTCTCAAACGGATGAACTGATTTTGATGGGATTTACAGCATTCGGCGTAGTTTTTTGGGCTTTAACCCCTACGATGTCAAAACGTCGAGATCTGATGAATACTCGATTTTCGAAAATCGGTCCGACATAAATAACTTCCTAATTTTGAAAAATTAGTGGTTTTTGTAGCGGAAAGTCAAAATTATTCTGAACCTTCATCCATTTTGTGTAGAATATGGGTAATGGGGCGGTATTGTTTACGGTGCCCAGGGCGGCACTAAGGGAAAATCCGGCCCTGCTAATAAGTAAGCTCAAATTTTTCATTTACAATTAATTAATCCATGTCTAAATTTCAATATAAATATTGTACTAATGCTACACGGAGGCACTAAAATAAATAACTAAAAATACTCTAAAACTAATTTAATCCTACAGTGTTTAAATTTTAATTTTTTATTTATTTTTATTAATTATTTCAGTTTTAAAGATATTGACTCGAAATTTGAAAAACGCTTTGGAGGGATAAATGTGCATTTTTTGGGGTGATCCGAATATTTCTACTTGCCAGTGGCGTTCGTGCGGGAATTCCGCAACCTTTTTCAATACAAAAAATGGTACGCCACTGACATTTTCCCGTTCCGAATTAAAAATCCGCCATCAATTCTGAATGAAATTGTCCACTTCAATTTTCATCGTAGGATGCGCCGTTTTTGAGGAAAAAAATAAAACATATTTTATTGTAGGTTTTGTTAATCTTTTATTATACTTGTAGGTCTCTTTTATTATTATTATCAAAGAAAAATGCAATTCAACATTGAAAATAAAAAGTTGATATGAATATGAGTAAAGAAATTCTTCGATTTCGAGGTATAGTTGTTCAAAACTCTTTGAAATAATTAATTAAAATAAATAAAACATTAAAATTTAAACACTGTATCTCGGAAACGAAGCATATTTCGACATGTTTATATGAACTTTTTTTCACAAAATAACTTCGACAACCACCCCTAAAATATTTCGCACTTATTTACAAATACCCTGTAAGTATTATTATAGATGTGCAGATCGCAAAAACAAATGAAGGCTAAATATTTTATCGCACATATTTGGAAACTGTAACTAGGCACTTCAAAGTTACAAATCCTAAGCCTGCTACGATTTTATTAATTTTGAAAAAATTGTAGGTATTAACAATTTTTTATATATGAATTTTAATAACGAGACATTATTCTACCCCTCAATATGAAATAAAAAATGTTATTACACTTGAAAACGCATTATTTTTCACTGGGCCATTTTAAAAATAAAATATTCCTCGTCCTGAAATTATTAAATTCGTTTTCAGGCCTTAGGCGAACGTTGTAGGAAGACAAATTGGAATAATTTTGTAAGGGGCAAATTATTTATTTACAGTAGGAAAAAAAATCCCGGTTAAATGATAAAAACTGTCACAAATTAATCATTGCAGAAATATGGACAAATAACACATTTTTGTCTTTATGTTAAAACCTCAAACATATGACCCTAATTCAACCCAATCCCAACCTATTCAACCAATTATTAGATCTTTTGTTACATGTTACATATACATGTACTATGCTTAGTTTTGGAAACACATCGAAGCTGTTTCATAAAATTAAATTACAATAAGGTAAAAACTACGCTTTAAAATGTCATGTAATAATAAGTGATAAACAAATCGACTTTGGGGGTAGCTTTCCTATTCTATTTTTTTTGTTCAGATAATATTATGAACTATGTAGACGGCGGTTAAAAATTTTGCATTTCTGCACTGTATTAGGAAATAACACACATGTTATCTACATTTACTAAACAATATAGCGAGGCGTGGAGCAAGAGGGAGACGGAAATGATTCCGAGTCCGCTGTCTCCGATACCACCCGTTTCCACGAGTAGCTCTCGAATTTGAATTAAAAACGAGCTTTGCGGGAGCAAGAGGCTATTTTAAAGTTTAAAGGGGCACACCGCTGTTTAAAATCCCCTAAGAAACTACAATACCCAAAAAATGTTCGGGTGAAGTTTGTGACTAAGGCAGTGAAGTGTTTAATAGAAGTCAATTAAGTCAAACTGTCGTAATTATTATAGTGACCACCAAGATGGAAACTGATTATCAAAAAATGTATAATAATCTCACTGTGCTGTTACAGGGTAGGACATACATATATATTTTTCTGGTTACTTAGTTTAAGTGTTAAAATGTTGTGACAATGGTAAACAAATTAGATAAACAACCAATGATAAGCTATCAAATGTTACAGGGATATATATAAATATTTCGGGCTTTTATGTTGTTATAATTGATCTTAATAAAAAAATATTAACGTTTTTTTTTCTCAGAAAAAAAGCCTATTATAATAAAATAAATTATAAATAATATATTACATATTTGTGACATTTTTTCAAAAAGTTGCAGTTGCTTCAAGTTATTTAATTTGTTATTTTGCAAGGAAAACAGGGAGAGTAATATAATTTATTAAAAAATCAACAGATTAACTTCTGTATTAAAAAGAAATTTTATATTGAAGAAGTATAATATGTTATTGTTCTTTATAATAATTGTAGATAATCGGTGTACATGAGTCATGTTTTGCAGATATTTGCCAGTTTTTAAACAGCGACAAATTGGGATCTTTGAGTCACAGAGATAAGAAAATTGTGGAGTCCCTCATCACGAGATCAAAAGTGCAATTGCAAGAAATTTCGAAAATTCAGACGATTTCGGTATGTGAGGAGTATGTCGACATGGATTCAAAAAAAGGTTGTTATGATAGATTCAAAAGTGTTTAGCTTAGCCACTTTTTAACATTGCATGTTGATTTTGAGTGATATTAAACAATAGAGTACCTACATAATGTTTTATATTTACACTAACATGTAGTTTGTTGTTATGTATTTATTATTTAACAGTTGAACAGCTAAACACTTCTGAATCTCCTAATAGTTTTAGTATCGGAGGATGATGAAGAAAAACTTGATATTTATTCTTCTGTAGATGATGTTAATAAAAATGTGGAGATTACTGTACAAGATGAACCATCATGTCCATACGACGGTAAGTAATTTGTATTTGAAATAACAATATTTGTCATCACATGATTTTTAATGTTCTCGTGTATACAACATGTTTAAAAAATATGTGCTTTCAGGGATAATTTAAAAATACAGGATGTTAAAATGTTATTTTTCAAAACGACTAGTAATAATTTAAATGAAATTTGGGTTGTGCAATAGCACATATTTTAGGATTAAAAAGGTGTAGACATATTCACCAGTGGCATACATACAAGGCGGTATTGTAAAAATTTTGTGAAAAATATGTACACAGCAATAATTTTCTCTTAATAGATTTAAAGCGACCTCAGTTTAAAAATTATTATTTATTAGGTATTCCGATTTACCTGAATACAATCATAGAAAATTATGAAAATCTATCAACCTGTTTGTTAGATATACTCGAATAAATATTACGTCTAAAAGGAGAAAAAAGCCTGAGAATAAAAGCTCTTTTTAGTCTTTAAAGTTCGCTTAGGTTTTTATCGATTACAGGAAAATCAAATACATTGAAGAACATATTAATATTGTTGTAAATATCGCCACGTTTATTTGCATACATAATATTCTCGAGGCAATAATAAAAAAACAGGTATACTTTTAATGTTTCAGATCTTCCTGCCCGAGAAGCTTCGCAAATCGTGAAATATGGTTTCATGTACATGAGAAGAAGATTTTTACTGGGTTTTGAAAAAATGAAACGGGTATACGGAGCTGTACATAACAAATGGCTACTCATATACTACACGGAAAAAGATTTAAAGCCAATTTGTACATTTAATTTGAAAAACTATGAGGCCAAAGAAACTGATGGATCCAAGAGTACTAACTTTGAACTGATGAGTACACTATACAGCAAAGTATATTATGTAAGTTTAAATATTAATAATGCGCACAGTATTTGGTTCAGATGGGAACAATAACACGTTTATATAAAAATTGCGTTTAATATTCAGTATAGAGGGATCATTTTCTAGTTCATGGCATTAACCCCTAAAGACATGTTGCAATGGGTAGTTAATATCAACAGATGTCATGATAATGTCGTAATACAAAGCAAAGAGTTTGATTTGGAAAAAAATAATGTTTCTCTAGAAGAAGACATTGGAGAACATTACGATACTGTCATACCCGCTTCTGAGAACCATAATGAAGAATTAGAAGACGAAGAAGATGACATTTACCTTGAACTAGACGACATGTAAGTGCTAAATACAAGATATTTTTATATCAACATTTTTCCGTTTTTTTTTCTTTTAGAATGAAGCCTTCTCAAAATAATAATAAGACGTCTCAAAAAACTACAGATTATGATCCTAACATTGGACCGCCTTTGCCGAGAAGAAGACCACAAAAAGACGAACCGGTTCCAGTTTCGTCACCATTAATAAACCGGTTGAATTCCTCTGAAGAGTCACTGGCTTCCTATGATGACATAAAAGAACTTGCAAAGGCACCTGAACAAAGCTCAGAAGACGATGAAGACGCTACATACGAAGCATTCGTCCACGTTAAACATAGAATCACTAAAATGTCCAATCCACTTCCAGAAGAAAATAAGGAAGAAATGAATGAAACGACCGAACACTCCGAAACTAATAACACTACGATAATAAAACGTGGAGTTACCGAGTCCAAGAATGAAACCACTGTTGTTAGTATAAAGGACAAAATCGAAAAATATCAAACTTCAACTGCCAAGGAGGATGTTAGTATAGACTCGGAAGGAATACCAAAGCTAAACAAAAGAAACGTTAATTTGTTCTTTCAAGGAAGTATTAAAAAATCAAATACTCCTCCCGATGTGGAGTCAAAAAATGACGTAAATAGAGTAAACATTAAAAGTTGCGATAATGTAGCTTCCGAATCAAAAATTATTGTTAAAGGTGCTATTGGACTTAATCCCCCAGTGATAAAAAAAGTACCGACAGTGCCACTGAAACCTAAAGTCAGAGACAGACCCTCCATTGGCAAAAGACCACCCTTTAGTAGTTTTAAACAAATAACTGGTGATCGTTAGACATACTACAGAATGTATTCAAAAGGTTATCATAACCAGCTAGTCCATATATGTTAAAAAACGTATGTTGTTACCAAGTGACAACAAATATACTACGGAATAGCATATGCAAAGCATTTAAAAAATGAATTTTTCATACAGTGTGACGCATTTTCTAAATACTTTAATATTTGAAAACGCTTTCCATAAAACTATTTATTTGTATTGTATTAAATATTGGAGACCTTTTTTTTTTGTATAAAAAATTCAATAGTATTAAATAAAATAATTAAATATATTTATATCTAGTGAAAAAATACGTCTGCTGTCAAACAGTCTTTCACTGTCAACCTGGTATAAAAAGTAGATATGACTTTATATTCCTCTTTGTCTCCGTAATAAACGCATGTGCCTAAAAGTGCTATTAAATATAGGTATTATTTATCAATATATAAATAAATAAATATTTTTATACTTCCCGATTATTGTTTATTAATTGTACCTATTACAAATAAAAATAACAATTTTAGACGATTCATTTTTGTACCTACAAAAAATGAAGTGCTACGAAAAATTACACCAAATTGAACAGGAAAATGTGAAACATAACAATAATTGCTATTTCAAAGTTATTCAAATTCAGGTGTACAATTTCGAACACCTCAAAGTCGTTAAAACCCACACATTACTTTTAATAACATTGACCCCATGATGATCTAATTTTTAAATAATTCTACCAGCTCGATCCTACTTCATCAACACATTGTTAAAGGCAATTTCTTTAAGAATACGATCAAATGTAACAAATGGTCAAAGAAAGTTACAACAAACACCATTGCTACTAATTTAATAATAAATAATGTAACAAATGTAACAATATCTCATCTGTTCAGTTTTTACGTTTTTACGTTGCTTTAATGAATCGGTAACAGATGGCAGTAGCTGAACCTTTATTAGCGTGAAAAGTGGGAATTGAATCCGGGGGTCAGCACGTCACACATACCCAACTCGTACCCAACACCCAATGGACTATCTAATGATTTTAGGGCGCATGACGCAAGAAGGGTAGGTGCTCGCGCATTCGACTTTGAACAGTCCTTCGATGTCAACAACGGTGTGGTGAATGAACATTGAACATCGGGGTGTAGCCTTTTTATTACTATATGGACACAACGGCTGTACGTATAATGAATAGATGTCTATTGCAATCCTAAATAAAATCTCATTTTTTGTGTAATGCACCTCGTTTTATTTTTTCTTTCTTTCATTTATGGCTTCAGCATGCTGATAGTACCATTTTAAGTGTTTGCACTACTTTTTTAGCACACGATCTTTTGTTACACATCTCACTATAAGTTTACGATAAATATTTTTATTATGCTGATATTTACCTTATTCATATATTACGCTAAGGTAAATAGTGCTTCTAGTTTAGCAGCTAAATTAAGTAAATATGTATTTTAATTTGCCACACTCAAATAACGTGCGAAAATATTTAATTAAGGCAGAAATGTAAACTTCAACATAAGTCATTTTGCAAAGTTGCCATAGGAACGCTGGGTACATCGATAATCTTGTCGGTTTCGCAACAGCCACGTAATTTTATTTAACAGAAAGTTAATTAAACGCTTTTCAGTGTAAATAAAAATAGCAGGTAGATCAGTTAATTTTTATGAAAAGTGCCCTTATGAAATTTTATGACGGCAAAAGCAACATTATCATTGGATGACGGAGAGGATAGTTACACGTTTTTTTTATAATATTCCAGAACATGCAAAATGTATTCTGCAAACTAGGTCACTAAATACAGATATACTTGAACTGAACCTAAAAAAAAAATTAACAAATTCCTAATTATCATACAATTGTTGCCATTTGTTGAAACAATTATAGAGAATATCGGTAAAAAATGATACCTAACATAATTATTATCTGTTATTTTACCTTGTCTTTGAAAACTTGTGCTTTCATTTCTACAAGTCTGACATAACGTTTTATTTTCAGAAAACAATAAAAAAAAGATAATCAAGGGGTTCTCCATATTTTTTGACGAAAGTAAATATATCAAATTTAAAAGAAATAGTGAAAGTTTTCTAACTATTATTATAAAACAATTTATTAAAGCACTGTCACTGTTTGCCATTTCATTTTTTGAGGTCAAAGAAAACCACACGTAAAACATTTTGCATACCTGTTAGCAATCGAGATAAGGCCTCTGATTAAACGTATGGAATTTCATAAGTATGCGTAAATGTAATTATTATTCTGCCAATAAATATATTTTTTAAAACCTTAATTTATAAATCCGGGAATTTCCAAGACTTAAACTTACGTCACTACTATGAGGGGTACAAAGTCCTAATTTTTACTCCTCTCCTCGCGGTGAACGACAGGATCTAATCGACGCCTAGCTAAATTACTTTTTTTTAATTAAAATTTAATCGAGGTGCTACTAAATAGTGGTGAAACAACAAAATTACTAAATGTAAGCTTGAATTTCTCGCAGATTGAACTTTTTCGCTCTATAATTTACGTTAGGAACCATATATGCAGTTTACTTTATGGAATTTTTGTATCAAAATTAAGTACAACCTCTAAAAAAAAGCCTCCTCTACTGAAAGTGGGGTTAATTTCTAGACATGGGATTTACTTAGTATAATACCATGTTCTGACTGCTAAGAATGTGATTGCGATTTAGCCACAATTACAGGGCGTTTTTCAAATCCATGGCATAGCTTCATTAAATGTATCAGTCTTTATTCAAATATCTTTGAACTGGGATCAAATCCTTGTCACTTACAACACCACTGAAAGAAAATTGAAAATCCTCGACGGTGGCTATGATCCTCCTTTTCGAATGAACCGCCGCTGTAAGGCGGGGCACCCATGAAATGCACGCCACATGTCAAGGACTGATTTGTTATTCAGGAATCTTTTGACTATTTATTAGGGAATAACATCAATTCATTACAATTATTACGTTGTTCAGGTTTTGATATGCATGTTTAGGAGGTAGTGTCTGGTAAACAGTCTAAAGTCTAAATAAAGGTCAATTCGTTGCAGACCTTATTGTTCGTGAGCTGGCAATGACTCCCTTTTGAATAGGTAATGTGTAGTAAAATGTGACATTACGTTAATACATCTACATATCCCGACACCATTTTTAAAGACTACATCGCAAATATGTTTATTATAAACTACACCAGTTCCCAAGGTTATTATGGGTGTTCAAACTAAATAATCGTTTGTGTGGTAAAATAAATATTATCTTCCGTTGTGTACTCATTTAGTTAACTTATAAATGTTTCGGAACGGAAAAGTAGCCGCAAAGAATGATCTGTAAAAAATGATAAAGGATAAATAAAACTATTTCGACTTCCTTTCGATTTGAGACCACGAATATTTTATTGCACACTGTTTTAAATGAAAAGGAATTATATTTATTTTTAAAGATTAACATTAGGTTTTTCATTAGTTTGCTTTGATTTTGAAATTTCGAATCAAACAATCCATATTATATCTGTCATCGTTGTTAGAAGTATGTATGTACATTGTGCCGTATAATAAATATTTAAAATTCTGATAAGAAAATTCACCTTGAGTTGTTGCCTGATTTCAGAATCTCACTTTTTGAAGACGTGATCACCAACATGCTATCACAAAACATTAACATTGTGTCGTTAAACTATTTTTGGGTTGTGTAAAGCATTTCCATAGAACATAAGAGAAACTAACAGTCTTGATTTGAAAGAATTATAGTTAGCAACCAAACATCAAAGTTATATAAAACTCAGTGATGATCGGAAAATTTTGTAGATTCACTTTGTTTTTATTTTCTGTAATAATGTTTTGCCAACTGTATATTTAGAACTTTTGTATTGAGGACGTTTTCCTTGTGAATATTTTAAGGCCAGCTTCCATTCGGTCTAAAATTACATTACCAAAACGATCAAATTAATATCATCCGCGAATCCATTCGACCTTGGCGTCGATTTAAACTCCTTAATTTAATAACACCCCCTGATGCCCGAATTAACGAACAATATTTCCGGCCGAACTTTGACTGGCAGTCCTCATAAAAATTCAGGACATTAAAACACACGTGTTTATTCTGAATCATTTTGTTGTTGTAGGTAGCTAAATTAAATTTTAATGTGTTGCGTACGTTGGAAAATAAAATAATTTAACAAATTGAAAATTCGGTATAACTGAAAATATTATAGTGCATGGCGATAGTCTTCCGTGATGCTAAAAACTAAGTAATTGTAATGATATTCTATGAGAATTCCTAGTATGATCACTGTGTGAAAATTCAGAAGGTCAATTTGAGACCTGTATTACTATAATAATAATATAATTATATTCTTTTGCAAACTCGATGCAGTTAAATAAGATTTTATACTAAATATGACAAAAGGTCATTCCTGTCACTTTCAGACTGAAATCACGTAATCCAAATTAATTAGTGTCGAATATTGTAATAACGACATAATACTTCATTATTAGCTCATTTTTAAATAATTGACGTTCTAATTAGTATATAATGCTTTAGACTGATAAATAAAAGTTTGTGAAAATATTCGACAATTTGGGACTTTGTAAATAATCTGCAGATATCAGATTTGTATGTAAGCTCCCACTGAATTCACGGCAACCTTCGGTGTTATCCTTGACAGCAGAATGAAAAGTAAAATAAAAGTGAAAAAAAACTCGTAAGATGTAATTAGATGTTTTTATCTTTGCTCTTGAGAAACACATCTTGATTCAGAAGAATGACTCCTAAGAAATGTTTATAAAATTACCTTTAAAAATCCATGCTGTTCGTAATAGAGTATGAAGTAACCTTTTTCATTAGGGGCATTCGGATTTAATTTATTAATGGACTGGATATGTGATAATTGATACTTCAATACTTCCTTTTATGTGCCTGATCTTGCTTTAGCGAATGTGTCGAGTTAAAATTTAAATTTTAAAAGAATAATTTATTTAGTTTATATGCTATCTAGACTCCTCGTGTTCCACAAGGTCAGTAAACAAACTGTGTATAAAAATGAATAAAAATGTGTATTCACTGTTTTATAAAGAGGTATAAAGTCCAACTCATTGAATCCCATTTTATTCAAAATAACAGGGTTTATTATTCCATTCAATTCAATTTGCTAATGTCAAATGGCAATGAAAAGTCATCATTGGTTTGTTTACTTTTTACATACGGATTTGAACTAAACCTCGATTCGAAAACTTCAGTCGCACATTATTGACAGTATTTTGCGTGTTAGACTAGAAATCTGAAAAGAGTATTTATAATTTAAGTAAACAACGCGAAATCGAATTGTAAATATTTTTTACCTTGTAGTGTAAAGTGGTGAGCTCGTGTTCTGTGCAAACAATTAACTATTTCATCTTATCATAGATATTTTAGTGTCACATAACTTAAAAATATTATTTTAAAATGAGTACCTAGATTGGATACACTATATTTTTTAATGTTGATTCTATTTTAGCCATAAAGTTTGGTAAATTTTTTTTTAAACTAAACTAATTACCCCAGAATTAACAAATTATAGGAAAGCAGGTTGGTAATTAAATACATTGAACTTAAAAAGAAATAATATTAATAACTGACTCTATAATATGGTCTATAATTTAATTGATTTGGTTTTTCAGTTTCCACAACAGATTTCACCCTGCTTATTTATTTTTTAATACACGATACGTGTGGTACTAGAGGTAGCTTGTTTTGATCATATAACGATCCCATATTCGCAAATAAAAATAAACCAATAACATTTGGAAGTGTTTATTCCAATAAGTGAGATGTTTACATATGCCTACAAATATAACTGTCATTATTTTTTTCAAACTAGCATAGATATATTTACGCAGACATCGTGGAGCCGTGTCAGATAATTTTTATTTTTATCAACAATGTTACGTATTAAGCTTTTGTCAACAAATATGAAACACTTTAGATGTTCAACTATTACGTCCAACAAATCTTTTATCATTTTTTTTTGTGGCATCTACTATTGAACGTCATACCACAAATCAACAAAGCATTGCCGTAAATAATAAGAAATTAGGTTGCCCAAGTCAAGACAAATATTGATTATAAAATAAACTAGTTCTAATTTTAGATGTCGCTGCTAGTGGCCTATTTTATTTGATTTTTTTTTATGTTGCACGTGTTTTTCACAAATGTACTTGTAGTTAATCCGTTAATTATATCTAGAGATTTATTTATCTTTAATTGGATATTTTTACTACTAATAAGGACCATTGAATTAAAAGAATGTTTTCAAGTGGCACTTACTCTACTGAGAAAATGCGCGTGTTCTTGTTTATTCTTTATAATCTTAATTGGCATGACAGAACTGTACTGATTGCTTGATAATAAATACCTGACTATGAGGATTTTGAACACTAGTTCGCAATGTCCTTGAAAATTATTTTAAATAAAAATTTAGTTCTCAAATTTATGCGGTTTGATCAATTCCCAAGAGAAAATTATGTTTAAACCGATTAAAGTACAATTATTTTTTGACGGAATTATAGATATAAGTATTACTTCAAAATTGTATATAACAATTCTTATAATTCGCTCTCGCAAATGTGTAGTGACTAGCTAACAGACTTAATCTAACACGCCAAAGTAGTGTTGAAGTGGAAATAATTGCTGTTTGGAGCTGAAAATAACTGGCAACAACAGACTTTCTTTCGAGGTCCGTCGAGTATCATAGTAATTCACTTCAATAGGGTTTTTTAACACAACACGGGATTCTCACGTGTTTACTGAGTGATCAGTTACACAACGTCAGTGTACACGTAAATTTTCCTTACCCTTTAGAGTGCGCTGCTATTATTACAAAGATCTAATTATAAGAGACAGGGGTACCTACTTATTTGATTATAGAAAAAGACATGAAACGAAAAGCAACCACTATTTTAAAAATAGTCTCGGAAACTACAAACATCGATTTTTTTTTCTTTAAAAAACGTCAGCAGACAAATCAGTACCAACAGGTTAAGTGGGCAGTAATTCAAATACTTACAGACATTTTTAAATAAACAACATGTAGATAAAAATGAAAAGAATATAATAAATAGGGTTTGAATTAACAAACATATTTTGGTTTGGAACGTAGAAGGTAGACTAGACTTATATTGAAAGATTTTCTTCTAGCATTTAAATTTATAATCATCATTGATCTCTTGGTTGGGAATACGATGCTAAATTTAGAATTTATGATGCCTTTCTGTGCAAGCACACAAAACGTGGTATGGAATTGTTTGACGATACGATTCTCTACTTGACGATTTATTATAAGGAGATTGATTTCATACAAAGGAAAGACGTTGTACCTTCTCGAGTGTAGGTATAAACGTTTAAATTACTGGAATTATTTAAAAATGCTATAAATGGAATAATGAGAGGTAAACAAACTACTTAGTCCACCCTGCGTCACTCTGGTAACGTTTCTTTATCTTGCAACTATGCCATGCAGGGGGTCATGTCCACATTGCGTAGCATAATTAAAACTGGATATACGTATTTACTTACAACTCTTGTTTACTGTTAATACTACGCTAAGTGATAAGTCTTGCAATACATAATTCATTTTGTTTCCAATTTTACTATTATTAACAATATTGGATCAAAACCGCAGTCTTTAATATGCATTATTTTAATCGTTGTCCAGCCAAATAATGTAACCAGAATATTTCAGATTTATTTTCATCGAACTTTCAAAGAAAATTAAGTCGATACAAACATCGAAAATATACTTACGACAATTTATGCATCTTGTGAATGTTTTGTTTTTCATTTCATACTCAATGAAATAGGTGTACAATAAATTTTTATATAGCTTCATTCAAGCTTTTAACGACTTACTAATATTAATCCATCAGTTTACCAGACTGGATTATAGATTTAAAGGATTAAATAATGTGACAAATTTGTTTAAAGCGGTAGCAAGGGTTTAACAATAATTTCATCTTTTTTCTTTGTTTTGGAGGATATATTTATTGAAACATTTTACCCCAAAAAAATGGACCAATTTTAAGAAATTTTGTTGCCATTTCAAAAAAGTATTTTATTTTTTTGTACAATTGTGTGGAAGAAAATTCGAATTAAAAGAAAAAATACAAGTATTTTTAGAACGATAGTTGTCAAACATGCAAACATAGGCACCTTAATAACAATAACAGAACATAATCTGTATTGGATAATTAATGCTATTATAACGGATTAAAGAAGATATACAATACACATTGTTCGTATTACATTGTTTTCCTTTCACAAATATATTCGGAGTTGGTAATTGCGAAAAATGCTACATAAAAAATATGTGTATTAATTTTTTGATTGGTAACTATGATATTTGACTCATGTAAGTGTACATGTGTTAAGTCTATTTACACAGAAATCAATTTCAGCAAATAATAAAGCAGTAGCTATGTAGGAATGTTTGCTAACACTGCGTATATAGCAACTATCCAGGATTTGAAGTAAAATATTCTTTAAATAAGAGCATAATGAAAGAATAACGATGAAATTAATTTGTGATAGCAAGAGAACAATACCGAGACCAAATCGAAAGCACCAGAGCAGCTCAATGACCGCAACAGTATCCTTTGAGTATCACGTGCACAGGTAATGATTTGCGGCATAAAAATTTCTCCAGCTGCGCTTCGTGTCCTCGTTCTTTGTTCTCTTTTTCTGTGTAGCAACAAAACGAGCTTGCCTCAGCCAAATCCTAAACCGACTAACGACCAAATCTACCTGTGAGATCTGCTTTGATTTGGTGGCTTTGGCACTCTCAAGTGAGCTTTTTTATGTCTAAAGGACGTGCCGTTGTGCCTCGATTTCCACTTCACACGGGCGATCACGAATCCGCCACGTGCTGCCACAGCCATCCTGATACCATGTAAACAAGCGTTCAAGTAAATAAGCGAGCGCTTCGGGCAAGGAGGCAGTGTTTTTGTGCTTCGCAAAGTGAGAAGTTCTCTTTAAAAAGATTTTTGCAAAGTATTGCGCACTTCTGCAATTATGTTAACTGAATCTGTTCTTGAGACTTTTCATAATCGGTAAGAATTTTCAAATACTTTGCTTCGAGCTTTGCTTATTAAAAAAATTTAATTTTTCCACATAAACACAAATTTTGTTTTACCTATTTATAAAATATTTTTAGTCAAATCGAATTATTTTTCGTACTTTTTTTTTTGTAAAACATCTCTTTTTAAATGGGCCAGAGAATTTTCTGTGGTACTGTAACAATTTTACACAAATATCTTCTTTTGTTTATTAATTTTGTAGCAGAACTAATGATATGATATAACTAGACCCCAAGCAAATTTAATTCTGATAGCAGTGACCTGAATAGGTTATCGATTGGTGTTAACACAACTATTAATAAAATGGCTCATTGATATTATTTACAAACAATTATTAGGAAGACCATGAAATTATGAAACTTTTATTAATTCATTCAATGATGTTAGTTATACCCACAATAAGTGAATTTTCAATTATGTTAGTGTACCTAATATCTATTAAAAATATCTAATAAATATTTATATGCTGCTATCTACTAATGCTTCCTAGCTAATTGCATACTTTCAAGATAAATTTACATATGTAATTTTTATTTCTTTGCAATTAGTAATTATATATCCAATGATCAAATCCTCTAGTAATAAGCTCTGAATACAGACCTATCTAATATTTATGTAGTACTTTAATGCTGTAAATTATTGATCCATGAAATAAATATTTTTTGTTATATCTTATAAATATTCTCTTGCTGTTGCAGAAAGAATAAGATTAAAAAATTGGGTTAGTAGCTGTTTCTTAATAAACCGTTAAATGATAAACTTTTTATCGATCTGAATATTTCATTCGTTATATCCAATATAAATTTACTACCGAATACCTTTTCGATTTATTAATTAATCACTTTTGCAGGCCAAGCAACATGAATAAGCTGTGCCGTCAAGTTTCTATCGAGTCTCCTGGACCAATCATCAAAGACTGCGTCTTCAGTTTCGAAGTACCAGTGCCTGATGTCCCAGCCACAGGGGCTAGAATCCGCGTGGTTTGTGCAGGGGCCTGCTACAGAATGAGGAACAGGTCTCCGTCAGCTTCCAGCATATCCTCTGTATCTAGTGTCCAGTCCACGGAGGACTCCGGATACAGCCCAGCCCATCACGGTATGAGAGATGGTGCTTTGTTTCCGGGATATGAGGTAGCTGGCGTAATAGACGAGTTGGGATCTGACGTTACTCCTTCGGAGGATATAGCCGTTGGAAAACGTGTGGTTTTATACCCATATGACGGAATACCTCATGGCTATGCTGAGTTTATTATTGTACCAGATTTGTCATATCTTGTACCCATACCTGATAACTTGTCCTTGGGTGTTGCGGCTATGCTTCCAAGTGGCGCTTTGTTAGCCAAAAGTGCAGTTACAACTGCTCAGGCCCATGTTGTAGAGTTATTGAAAGAACGCGCTGCCGATCATATTGTAAGGATTCTGATTGTTGGTACTGGTGGACTTGCTCTTTGGGCTTTGAGAATTGCCGAACATCATTTCAAAATCCCTGAATATCAGCATAGGGTCAAGATTACAGTTGCTACACTAAAGGACGAAGGTTTTATGTTAGCTGCTGGTGAACTTAAAAAGTACGTAATATTGAAAATTTATCGATTTATCTGTAATAAGTTTCATAACTTCTAAGTTTCACTCAATGTTTACACCTATGATAGATTTACTCTCAAACAGTATAATGTATACATTACAAGAATAAACCTATAAGATGTGTAAACTTTGAAACATGAAATATAAAACAAGGTAAAATTTACTTTTTGTTATAGCGTCAATATAGTTCAGTGGAATGAGGATCTATATGAAAAACAGCTGATAGAAAGAACTAAAGATGCCTGCAGTGGCTTGGTAGATATTGTCATCGACTTTGGTACTACCTCAAGATCTCTACATAGATCTTTACAATGCCTAAATTCTGTAAGTAAAATAATCATATTTAATGACAATTCTAACGATATAAATTATATAGATAGTCAAATATTCTCAAATTCTGGAGGATACTAAATATTAACATTTGTTCCAGGGTGGCGTAGTGTTAGTTAGCGAAGAGGTAGCAGAACGGCTACTACCTAAATTTTCAAGGCTAATACACGAGAGAAACCAAAAAATTGAAGCTGTTGCGCCAGGATCTATAGGTCAACTAAGGCAACTTGTTGAAAATGTAGCCTCTGGTGAAATTAAACCGCCGCCACATACAGAATTTTCAGCCGACGAAGCCCCTACTGTCATACAGAAACTTTGTCATTCAGAAATACCTGGCAGAGCTATATTACGTTTTCATGATATCCAATAATTGTTTGTATCACATAAGATGTTGTGACTCGAGGTCTTGGCAGTCACAATTTATTTTGCTCTCCATTTTTTTATGAATGATCTTTGTTTTTCACCAAATATATTTTTGTGATTGTATTATTAGAGTTAGGTTACTTGTAAGTATTGTATTTATGTGTATAAATGTACACCCTTATGAAGGGCATTTACTCCATACACATTGCCATGTGATAAGCTTTTATTTAAATTAGTTAACTTTTGTATTAACATCTAGATCTTAATTTTGTTATTTGTCCATTTTTATTCTTTTGTATATGTAAATACAAATATATTATTTAATAAAATTTATGTTTTACTAATGCTACTTACTTACCCGACTTGATTCCTATTCCAATCCACAGCATCCTCGAGAAGGTTTAATAATAAAATCTTGACACTAAATAACGACGCACAAGAAACGACACATCACAAGATCACTGGAAGTTAACATTAAAAAAAAACGAAAAACAAAATAGACACTAATTGATGCACATAACACTGTTACTAACACTAACATAGGATCACGAAAAGTTATAATTTAAAAAAAAACCGTTATGAAAAAACATTGCACTAATTTGCATAAGTTCAAATTAACAATGGACATAGAGATGTCGGGAGTGATGACGTAATGCAGTATGCATTTGTAATAATTATTAACACTATTAGGAATATTAGGATTGAATTACAGAATACACAATCTGACTATGTATTTATAAACTTCAGTTACAAATTTATATATATATATATATCTCAATGACC